TTTTGAATTATCCGATTAGAGGTTCAAACTTTGTTCTGCACCTACTTACCTACTTTACTCTTGGCTTTGATAATCAAGTAGTTAGTTGGCTAAAGGTTTCTATAACCACACACACACACTAGTCATCATAAAGTAAAATAAAACATATAGTTCAAAAATGAATAAATGAATTAGTAGTTTTAAAAATACTTTGTTTAATCAATAAATATGCAGTTCTATATTCAAAATTCATGATGTTTCTTCTCCACATAAACAATCATCAATTGAGAAGACTGAGGCAGGCTCGATAGATTGTATTTGGCAAATTTACACTCTTAGTCAACTAAAAACGAAACCATCACATTGAACGCTCTATTTGCATACCATCTTTGAGTCCTGACTTCCAACGCTCCAGCCTTCTTCCATTCCTGCTGTTGCTTCCTTTACTTCCTGTCGGTGCTCTATTTATTTCTTGCTTTTGCTCTATTTGCTTTCCGTTTTCCTCTTCTGACCGTGAGACTTCTTCTTTTACGTCCATTCTTATACTACTTATATCGTTCGTATAAGTAGCACACACCACAGTAGTAGTAGATCGATAGAATGTAGTCAACACTTTTTTCATGTGGTTTAAGTAGCAGTAGAACATTAGTTAGTCAATCAGCTACAACGTAGAACTTTGTACGTACGTACATCATTTCAAGTTGTCATACCACCACATTCGCACACAGAGATGCAATTGTTTAATTCAATCCCATATTATTAGAGGTAGTAGAAGTATTAGCAGTAATCGGAAAGATTAGGGATCGAAGATATTATATTCAAGGAGTATAATCCAGATAAGAATATGAGTGAACACAAGGAGTGGACGCACATGCACCATCACAAACGAATTTGAGTCATGTCATTCAAAGTCTCTAACCAGTAGAACATTAGTTATGGTAATTGTCGACTACCTGGTTGGGGTCGGCGAGATGATAATAATCGATGGTTAGAGACCTTGAATGACATGGCTCAAAATCGTTCGCAATGGCGCAGGTGCATTTATTCTTTGTGTTCTTTCAAATCCTAATCTTCTGGATTCTTCAACATTTCTAGTTTTGACTTTCTAACCTTATCTCACTGAATCATACTTCTTGAATATCTTCTAATCCTAACCTCTCTGATTACTTCTAATACCTTTACCTACCTCTTCTACTATTGGATTTGACTTGACAATGACATCTCTATGCTAATGTGGTATGGCAACATGAACTGATGTACTTACGTACAAAGTTCTACATTGCATCTGACTGACTGACTGAAAACATTAGTTAATTAATTTCCTTTAATCAATTTTGATCATTAACATCCATTACAAAAAATTGTCTTGTCTTACTTTTCTTCTATTCTCTAGATCTTACTTTAAATCCTTTAAGAACCGATATTCATCTGATGAAACGATCAGATAAGACTGATTGATTGATTGATTGACAGGCAATGTAAATCTCTTCTTCTCCCTCATACAATGTTTATGACACTAATTACAACATATAATTAGAGGAATAATAGTACAAAGTCTTCCCCTACAAGTATATATACATTCCTTTAAATGAAAACACCATCCATCCTTTATCCTATTTAACTTATTCACTTGTTGAATCTGACATTTTTCCTTCTTTATATATATTTGTACAAATAATTTAATTTGATGCTTATATATATACTACTTAATTACATTTATATACATATATATATGTATGCTTTTTAAAAACAGATAGGTGCTTTTTTCTTTTTTTTTCTTATTTGACAATCTTTCAAACATGAATCATGAATGCATTTCCCTTTTATACTTCTCGTATTTCTTTTTTTTTTTACAAACATCATTTGATTCACACTTTTTTTTACATTCATTCATTCTTGATGCCATTTTTTTTTCATATTTTATCGATCCGAGCAAACTTGATCTGTCTGTTCATATTAGTATTATGATTATTATTGTTACGTTTTTTTTCTTAGCTACTCTCAAATGTCGTTTTTTTTCTTTTACTGCTGAATGATAAATATATATTGTGTATACAAGGTACTCAATACCGCCTTGATACATTGATTGCATAATATCGTATATGTCAAATATATATATTATATATTATATATATATATATATATATATATATATATATATATATCATAGATATTATCTGCTTGTTCAATCATCCTGTAAGCAGATTACTTTACTTTGGCCATTCTCTGTGTCCACCGTAATCTGTTTGTTGTTGTTGTTGTTGATTTTTATTTTATTTATTTAAACAAACAATAAATGATGCATTTTTTTTATTCCTTGATCCATAATAGTAGGTGGTGAATTTCATCGGGAGAGTTGATTTTTCTACTGACACTGACATAGAGAGATAGATATTTGATTGTCGCACAAAATCCCTTGATCAAACAGAGTTAGACATTAACACCGTTGGATAGCGGGCCCAGTGGTCCAGATTTTAGGCGACCGAAGGTCCTGGGTTCGAACTCTGTGGGGGTAGCAGGAGTCATGGATGCGCACTGATGACGAGTCTTATTTATACACTAGGACGAAATGGCCGTCTATCAGTGCTTCGAGGTCTAACAATTTTTGAGATGGTGGAGAAAACTTGTAGCTCAGGTGGATGATTGTGGTGGTGTTTCGTTCTCTGAGCTGGTTGTTTTGGTTGTGGAGCTTTCATTGTTCTTCTGAACAACATCATCATCTTCTATCTGAAGTTCGTGCTGATGATGTTGTTCAGAAGAACAATGAAAGCTCCACAACCAAAACAACCAGCTCAGAGAACGAAACACCACCACAAGGTCTAACAATGATTGGTTAATGATTTCAAATGTGTAAAAACAATAATAATCTTCATAATTGTAATCGCAAAATAAAGTATTCTCTCTTGTCACTAGTTCGAATCTATCAATTTATTGTCTTTTACTATTGAATTGATAAATAAGTTTGAACAATGAAAAAACTAATGTGAAATTTTTTATTCAGTTGTTAAGTGAAAAATTAGTTATAAAGTGTGTGAATAAAAATACTACCTAGTAGATAATAAGAATATTAGTAGTATAATAATTTTAAAATAATTTTCCATTGGATTTTACACTAGTTTATTTTTGTCTACTATAAGGTAACTTTTAAATATCTACAGAACATATTCATATTTCTATTAAAATATAGTTTGGTCCTCCGACATGTGTTACGTATGCCCAACCACTGAATGCCTTAACGAGCTATGTTTTGTGGTGTAGAAGTAGGTTGGAAAAAAGCTAGGGGCAGCCAAATAAATTAAAACATGCCACAAATGCATGAAGTCACTGAAAACTTGAATGAACCATGTTAATAGGTGTAGATTACTTGGTTAGGGTCTGCGAGACGATACTAACCGATGGTGAGAGACCCGGAATGACATGGCTCAAAATCGTTTGCAATCGCGCAGGTGCATCCACTCTTTGGATCCTCTCAGATCCTAGTCTTCTGAATCCAACATCACTTATATTTTCCTCTTTTTTAGATTAATCTCACTGAATTATACTTCTTGGAAATATTACAACTTATAAGTACCATGTAGGTTTTGTTATTCTGCTAAAAATCTGCATGAATATCTTGGATTATAGTCATTTTAAAGACCTAACTGCTTACCTTCTGCTAATTAAAGAAAACAGTTTCTGCTTAGTACAAATTATTCCAAATGAATCAACATATAAAACAATCTATCTCTTTATTCTATGATGTTGCTTAAAGTCAAATAGGAAAAGTGTTGACCAAAATATGTGTAGGTGGTTATCGTCAATAGGGATACGATTGTGTGGCAAGTGTTCCGTTTTTTGTATGAGAGTTTTCAATAACGTGGACACATGACTCTCCAGGCATTGAATTCAAGAATATCAGATCCTACATAGAGCACCTACACTTTTAAAAACTTGCTCATCTTTCCGAATTCAATAAACTAACACTGTTACGTGCTGGCAAGGTTATTCCGTTTATAAGAACAAACGTTAAATAAACAACACTGGAAATCGCACCTTATTTTTACTGCCACTGACTTAATCGCCAACAACTGAAAACATGGGGGAAGATAGTTTTATTGTGATTGCATTTATTGGTGTTGTAAAGAGTTGACCACGCCCAGATGGCTAAAAGCAACTTATTTCGTGCAGTCTAGAAACTTGAAGTGACAGTTCAACAAAACGTCTTTTCAGACTGATACTACTCGAGCTTTATGTGGAATACTTCATTTTCCAATATTCAACAGATTGTGACGGTTATCTGACACTATCCATAGTAACTGTCCAATTTACATCTTGTCAATGCTGTGACGAAAATTACAGACGAAACTAAAGTAATTTCTACAAAAAATTTCAACCAAAAAATAAGCGTTGTTTCCTTTTCATAGACTAGTCCACAATTAGAAATCTGGAAGCATTGAACGGCCGTCATGCCCCAGTATACGATTCATCAATAATGCGCATCCATGACTCTTACTACTCGTAGAATTCGAACCCTTCGGTCTTGATGAGCGTGAACACCTACCTAACCCCCGGACCACTGAGCCGACATCTAGCGGTATTAATATTCCAACTCCATTCGATCCACGATATTTCATTTCATCTATTATCTTCGGTGGGTAACTGCCTCACACATGATACGGTTGGATCGCAGTAGCTAGATTTTCTCGCTAGAACTTCAAGAATTTCCCCCACAAACCTAGTCATTAATGAGTACATGATAATTGTCATTATACGATGCTTAGTTTTAGTGACTAACAGGCTTTTAGTTTTACATTGCTTAAGCAATATCATATACTACTTAATGAATTGATATTCTCTTATCAATTACAAAGTTCACTCTGACATCATACCTTTAAATTGAGATATTTATTACATATGCAGCACATTCACAATTTCACATATTTCAATAACCAGTTCCTTATATCCACTATGTCTGTCTACCAAACTTTAATACTATTTTAGTCAATAAAAACTACACAATAAGAACTACAATTTATCTAGCACAAATGATGCTTTTTGTTTTATTTAAAATTACACAAGTAAACAAATACGTAGTGAAAAAAAAGAAAACAAGACAAATTCGTCTCATGATTTCATTGTGCTGCTTTTTTTTAAAAAAAAACAGTTGAATTATTCAAATATTATATATGTGTACGCGCCATTTTGAATAAAACTGTACATTCTGACTATGTATACATATATATGTGTATATATTACACAGTCGACAAAATACCAAAGTTAAAGTTTATGCAAAAACAAAAAAGATATTATTATTGATGAGTTGTTCAACACAATGAATGAATTGTTACAGTCAACTACAATTTCTTTTGTTTATATTGTCTTAACTTAATTATAAATAAAAATATCACAAAATTCACTCTTGATCAAGTTTTATTTCAATATATGACTGACTGATCAGAAGTTAAATATTCAAAGAAAACGGGGCAAGAAAAAATTACAATAACCACCAAGGAAAATATGTTTTTTTTTCAAAACAGGAAAGAATCCGAAAGTATATTATAAAGATATATATAATACAAGTGTATATCAATAAATAAAGTTCAATAAGCAAACCAGACGTGATCAATTGCATGCTTTAAGCTAAATGAATGTAGTGTGTGTCCTAAGGTCGATTTGTTTGATAAATACAATAATTACTGGTGCTTCTGTTATCATTATTATTATTACTACTACTACTACTACTAACATTGTTGTCGCCATTACTTCCGGATGGATGATAAGACTGACAATCATAATATGGCTTTAAAGATTGATCCGTATTGAAGAACATTGTTGATCGACTGGTATGTCCACCGGATCCGTTCGATGGATAAGTAGATGCGAGTATTGGATTAATATGACTTTTTGACAATCCAGTCAATTCGTAACTGGAATTGAATGTGGAAAATTCTGTTGAATAATGATTATCATGATTATTATTGGTCATTTGACTTATTGGTACAGAATTTCCATGCTTAGAATCAATGTTATTTTGTACAGCGCATAATAATGGTTCACTATAATGAAAATACTCATTTCTATTGAATGGAATAATTGGGCTTTTCAGTTCATCAGTATAAGAAGTGGATTGTTTCAACCAATAAGAATCCGATGATGATGATTGCTGTTGTTGTTGTTGTGTAATGACTGGCAAATGATAATCAGGAAGAATGCTGCGATTCAAGGTGTGTTGTTTACTATGATCATCAAGTGATACATTATCACGACTCCAACAATACTGTGGTTGTTGGTGGTGGTGTTTCTCTTGAGCATCAATGTTGTTGTTATTATACATAAAAGATTGTGTACCGTCATCATGATTATCATCATTAGGTGGAAATAATTTATCACATAAAGTGTAATTTGTTTGTGGTGTTCTTGATGCATGATTCTTTTGAAAGAAAACATTAGGATTGTTACTACTACTATTACTACTACTACTACTATTACTCCCTGTATTCCTAGGATTTTCATGCCATATATCTTTCCATAAACAATTATTATCATCAGCAGTATTATCAAGTCTATTTGATTCACAATTGAAACTTGATTCCAAATATGTCGGCGGTGGAAATATTGGTTCTTTGGAATTACACGTGAAATGATCATCATTATGAATCACTGGTGTTGTTGTGTAGTAGGAGTAGTGGTGGTAGTTGTTGTTGGTGTTGTTACTGCTGTTATTATTCCATGCATCTTCAGGTAAACATTGTTGATTGACAAAATCTGTCTTTTTGCCCAGTGAATGATGTTGCTGTTGATGATGCTGATGATGATGGTGTGTTGTAGTCAACTGTTCAACATGGGACGATTGTGTAGCATATGATTTGCCAGTGAAACGTGCAGATTTAGCTAACTAAAACAGAAAAAAATGAATGAAAACTTTTCGTAAATAATTTACCTGTGTAGTATGTGGTGTTGTTGTTGTTCGAGGTTTTGTTAGTCGTTTTGTTCTTTTCATACCTTTATCTGGTGCTTTTAAATGAGCCATCAATGCATTCATTAATTCATTATTTTGATTAATATAATTACTAACTGCTTCACAATGTCGTACTGATGCAAGTTCATGATGTAATTGAAGATTGGTGATACGTTGTTGAAAACGATAAATTTGTGCTGAAGCCATCACACAAACAAACTTTTTTTTTCCTTGAATATTTAAAATAAACAAATTAATAATTCGGTTTCATGAATCTGAAAATTCGAAAAAAACAGAAACAATTCACATGAGTGAATAGTAGTTTATATGAAACATAAAACGGTATATGCAAAACTTCAAGTTAACAGGGGTTCTAAGTTAAATCAGAACAGTCAGTCAGTTACAGCGTAGAACTTCGTACGTACGTACTTAAGCTCATGGTGTCATCTCACATGAGCACAGAAACGCAATTGTCAATTCAAATCCCATAGTGATAGAGGTAGTAAAAGTATTAGCGGTAATGTAGAAGATTAGGGTTCGAAGATAATGTTTGAGAAGCATAATCTACTGAAATAAACTTAAAAAGAGAAAGATAGAGCTGATGAGCAGTTAAAAAGAAAATTCAAGAGAACACAAAGAATAAATGCACCGGCGCCATTGCGAACGATTTTCAGCCATGTCATTCAAGGTCTCTAACCATCGATTATTATCATCTCGCGGACCCCAACCAAGTAGTCGACAATTACCGACATGGCTCAGTCCACTAGTCAATGACTTCATGGATTTCTGCCATGTTGTCAATTGAAATCCAATAGTAGAATAGGTAGTAAAGGTATTGGAAGTAATCGAAGAGGTTAGGATTAGAAGATATTATTCAAGAAGTATGATTCAGTGAGAAAAGTTTAGAAAGTCAAAACTAGAGGTGTTGAAGAATCCAGAAGATTGGGATTTGAGAGAACACAATGAATAAATGCACCTGCGCCATTGAGAACGATTTTGAGCCATGTCATTCGTTCGCAATGGCGCAGGTGCAACAGCACGCGAGACCAAATTGGTCAAAATCAAATCCTTCCTACACCCCCTATTTTGATGGATAATATACTGTATACCTTTAAAAATGAAAAGAGAACTATTAGGATGGCTAATGATTTATTTATTCAGGAGTTTGCATCAATAATTGATTCTAGTGAATAATAATCATTCTACTTCATTGTATTGCTGCATTTCTTTTATCGATTATTATTTCATTTATTTATTTATAAAGTTGTACACAATTTAGTTTATCAATGATTACGTATTTGTATCTGTATATATATATATATATAACTTTGAGAGATAATCCCGACCATAGAATAAATTAATCGTGTTGCAATGAAACATCACACTGTTTATTTATTAGCATAATTATTTCAATAGGCTGTCTTCGATACAGACCAAAAATAAATCAGGTCGATTCGAAGAGATCAAATCTATATTTGTATATCGAAGCTTAGATTAGTTATTAATTGCCAACAATGATCTGGCGCTTGAGATATTTGAAATTCTCATTGGTAGATGTAAGCTACCTGGTTGGGGTCCGCGAGACGAAAGTCACTGATGGTTAGAGACCTCAGAATCGTTTGGAATGGCGCAGGTGCATCCACTCTTTGTGTGTTTCTTAATTCTAACCTTCTGGATTCCTCATCATCTCTATCTTTCTCCTTTTAAATTTATCTCACTAAATTATACTTTTTGAATCATATCTTCGCTACATCATCTTCTCCATTACTGCTAATACTTCTATTATTGCTATGACTCTTGGATTTGTACTGACAGTTGCGTCTCTGTGGTGATGTGGTATGGCAACCTGAACTGATGTACTCATGTACGAAGTTCTGCGCTGTATCTGTCTGTCTTGCTCGCTCGAAACTGGGAATAGTTAGACACATGACATTTTAATAATAATCAAACAGCTACTAACTTAAATGTTTAGTCAAAAAGTTCAAATACAGCTACTTTAACGAGGATATTTTTACTTATCGATTCAAATTGGTCTTCTTGCAAATTATTTTTTATTATTAAAGGTAATTAGAGTGTACTATCTCCTATCAATGACCACCTCAATGACCTAATTAACTGATCGTTTGAACTCTCATATTTCTCTGCAATAATAAGCCTATGTCAGTGAATGAATGAGTTTCATATAATAAACTATCTTAAGTGGATTTTTCAACATTTGAAAGTTGAGATAGGAAACCAATAAAATAAAAATCACTTTACAGTTATAACAATGCGTACTGATGAATTCGTTAACAACCTAGATTTTAAACATCAGGTGAATATAAAAATGCAGTGTAAGCCAAAAAATAACGACTGCCAATTAATTTGTGATTTGTATTTACTCAAGATTTTATTAATAAAATGGAATGATAGATAGAATTTAATTTATGAAAATAATCTTAGTGGAATCTTCAGTGATAATTACATCAGTCAGTTTTATCGAACAACACGCCATTCATTACTAGAGTTATGAGTTGACAATAGAGAGTTAGATCAACAAGTACCAGTTTATGAATATTTAGAGAAGTTATTTCTAATTACATTTGTGCAAAATACTAATTAACAGACAATTTCAAAAAAAAATATACACAATGTAGGCATTATTTTAAACTATGAGAAATTATTTGGCAGAGAAGAACAGGGGGATATATCTTAAGCTTTATTACTCGGTTGTCCAGATTCTTAAATTACTGTATTAGAAAACACGAAGAGAATGTTGAATAAAACAAACACTTTATTCTGTTGTTCTATGTCACAGGCATAAATGCAGTTAAAAGGTGAAAACAGCAGCGAATCATGGATATAATATAAAATACTTCAAGGTTCAGTCGTAAATACTAAGACCCAAGGGTAGAAAAACTCCAGCGCAAGTGCTGTGTGACCAAACGTTTCCTATCTACATGGCCATACATTCTACACACTACCTGACTGAGTAAAATTATTAAACGAAACGAGCAACCCCGAACTTTCCGAAAAGGCAGACAACTTGGGTGTAGAAGCTCAACTACATATCACTGGTCATTATCTCGACCATAGCAGCTACCTTGACGTGGTGGTCGGGCTTGCCTATCGTGATGACCCAACCGAGCTCTATTGGCTGGAACATTTGTCCCTGTAGGTTCTACCATGCCAGGCAGGTCGATTGGAGAGCGATAAGATTAAAAGCAGCCACTCAAGGTCTGGGGGTGAAGTCATACTGCTGACTGTAGAGGGATGTGATAGCAGTAAGGTGTCTCACTAGGACAACCAGCATCTGCAGCGATGCTACCTTCTCACAAGGAAGGGAGGGTTGGAAAGCTTCGGCCCTAAAAATGTCACATCTCACCTTACCTCACGGATTTCCGTCTCTGGTGATAAGATCTCTTAAACACACACGGAGTGGGCAACCGGTAAGTGAAATCCATCCCCATACCCTTAAAATCACACGAGGCTAAATCGGTTACAATCAAATGGGGTACTCACGTACGAAGTTTTACGTTGCATTTGACTGAATGAGTAAACTACATTGCAGAGCCAACACAACTCAGTGTGAATCGAATAATGTTGTAAGTTAGCACGCCAGCAGTATTAGCACGACGTCTGTTAGCCAAACAAACTCGTCAGCGTTTATAATGCATATATAATAGTTTGTGCTTAATTAGATAGTATGTTGGTTATTAAAGGAAAGTGCAGAGTAGTAAACGTTTAGAAAGCTGGAATAGAACAAAGGACGTAAGTAGATAGCTTCGTAAATACAACAAATACATCTACAACTAGTAGTAGTGACAATAAATTTAGCCATTAAAAAGTGTTAATAGTGTTCAACTAAGAAAATTCTACAATAATACCTATATTCACCAAAATATAGATCCGAACCCGCCACACAGAACCACTCAGATATTCCGCGTTTCCAATATCCAATATCACTAAGACTAGCGGATAGAGAAATGTTGATTCCTTGGTCATCACTTTTTGTTGCCAAGGTACTGTTCCAGATCGTTGTTTTTCTATAGCATGACCAGTGAAGCGACTATACTGAACTTTTTCTAGCCCTTTTGTTACTTAATCGGAGGTAAATGATCTTTCGTGTCATTTAGTAGGTGATTAGGTGAGGTTGAAAGGACTGGCACGAAGGATAATTCTATGGTAATGACCAAGGGGGTTAGTATGGTGCACACCATAACAAATCTACTCATAGTCTCCAGTTACTAAGCAAAGACAATCTCAGGTGAAAATTAAATTCTCATCTGATTTGTCCCTTATTCCTATTGATCCCTCCCTCCCTTGACCACATGCTATCCCTGGCGGTTTTTATCTCCCAAGCATTTGATCCTTGCAGTTTCATACAAAATTTGGCAAATTTTAGGTTTCATGTTGAGGAGGTTAGCAGTATCAAGACTGGCTTTCTTGCTTACGCTTTACCTTTGTTACACATATCGAAACAAATACTTCAATTTTTGGAAGAGATCTATAGAAACAGACGGTTACTTACTTACTTATTTATGCCTTTAAACCCCAATGAAGTGTAGGCCGCCAACCAGTATTCTCCAACCTACTCTCTCCTGGGTGTCTCTTTCCAGTTCTGTCCAGTTTTTGTTCATTCCTCTCATACCTTACTCTATTTCTCGGCGTAATGTGTTCCTTGGCCATAATCGTTCCCTTTGTCATTGAGGGTTCTAAGTGAGGGCTCCGTTTGCTATGCGATTGGGTACCTTACGCAGTGTGTCCTATCCACTAACTCCAGCGCTTCTTGATTTCCTCATCCACTTGAATTCGGTTTGTTCTCTCCCACAGTACGTTGTTGCTGATGGTGTCTGGCCAACAAATACGAAATATTTTGCATAGACAACTCTTAATGTATGCTTGAATCTTCTGGATGATGGCTTTCGTAGTTCTCCAAGTTTCCGCTCCATACAGTAGAACTGTCCTGACATTGGTATTGAAAATCCTGATTTTGGTTTTGGTTGGTACTTGTTCGGAGTTCCAGATGTTTTTTATTTGTAGAAGTGCAGCCCCTGCTTTTCCGCTCCATGCCCTCACATCTGCATCGGATCCACCTTTCTCGTCGATGATGCTGTCAAGATATGTAAAGGTGTTAACTTCCTCCAAAGAATCTCCATCAAGATGGATTTGATTGGTGCATGTTGTGTTGCATCGGAGAATTTTGCTTTTTCCTTTTTGTATGTTGAGACCTACTGCTACAGAGGCTGCTGCTACACTGGTCTTTTTCTCTTGCATTTGTTGTTGCGTGTGCGATAGAAGAGCCAGGTCATCTGCGAAGTCCAGATCCTCCAGCTGCGCCCTAGCTGTCCATTGGATACCGTGCTTTTCTCCTGATGCTGACGTCTTGATAATCCAGTCGGTCACGAGCAGAGAAAGAAAGGGTGAGATTAAGCAATCTTCACCTCAAATGAGTCTCTCAGCTGTCCTCCGTGAGCTGTTTTCAGTTTAATCCATCATAACAGTTCTACATAATGTTGACTGTCTTCTTAGGCAAGCCATTGTGTCACTGAAGCCTCCATAGTGTTGTCCTGTACACAACATCAAACGCTTTCTCGTAGTCAACGAAGTTGATGTTTAGTGATGAGTGTATGGTTTTTGAGTGGTTTCTAAATTCGGAAGAACTGTTCTAGAAGTTAAGATACACGCCTTTCCCAGTTAATCCAGAAAGAAAAAAACCTATCCGGGTAAGAAACCGTTCTATTATTAATTAGGTAATAGAAATAATTAACTTAACAATTTAACACAATGGGTTTCTAATTCTGGAAGAATGCTTCCTTTTATGTTCAAAATTGCACCCTTCCAGTCCAGACGTGCCTTTTACCCACCAGGGTATCAAATACGATATGGCTGACGCCATAATTAAGTATAAATTTAAACAACATAATACGGTTCAGTAGAAAACATAGACACTTCAATAAAGGTACAAAAAACAGAAGCCATAACAAAATACAAATATTAACATCACAAAATGGGATTAAACAGGGTGCCGAAATGTGGCACAGAAAGAGTAAGTAAGAACATATTACAATTATGTACATGGAGGGATTTTCTCAAAACAAAGCCTTCAAAATTAGTTTCATTCAACTGATTGTTCCATAATGATTCGCTATGTCGCAGTTCGGTTAGTACACGAAGGATCCCCACGAAATTCAGCCTGTTGATCCCGAATTTAGGCGTCTAGGAAGTCCTTCATTCTGTTTAACAATACCCTCTTGAATACTTTGCCTAGTATTGAGAGAAGAGCGATGCCTCTGTAGTTCTCACACTTGCTGAGATCGCCTATCTTCGGTATTTTGATCAGGTATCCTTCTTTCCAGTCGAATGTATTTCATTTATTTTGTATTGTAATGTATAAGTTATTGCTGGAGTCTCGTATTAAGATCCGTCACGGGTTCTAGATATACCATTTCGCTTTGATTAGTCACTTGGCAAAGGGCCGTTTTCTCTTGTATCCAGTTCACTTAGTTACTTCAAGCTCCCGCACAAACTCATATACCTTGACTGTAATGTTGACCTTATCCCAAGCCCATGTATACACAACCTTCAAGGTGAAGTACTTACGATCAAACTTGAAAATTATGAAATAAAAACTCAGGAAAACTGCTTCCACAATAAGTATGCATTAATATGGAACACTTCTCTCAAATATATGACCAGAAAAGGGACCAAACGAGTTTGTAAGGCTTACTAACAAAGCCCTCGGTTGCACTGTTTCCCCTGAACGTGTGAATTCACTGACACTCTGCCCAAAAATTTTTCGCTCACTATAATTTTAAACTAAAAGGAATTCAAAGCTGAATTTTCCATTTTTCCTACATATCCTTCCTTAATTTTCACTTGAAATAGACGGATAACTCACTGGGTCTCTGCGTACTGTTCAACTGTAGTTGGCTGATAAGTAAGCACTTTGATATCCTTACGAGTCGTCACTGAAACACCACTATTTGCAGATTAACTTCCAGTGGTCATGCATCCACTCAGCTTGAAAAGCAATCACTTGGTTTGGATTGGACAAATGTCTCCCAACATTTACAGGAAACAAACCAGTTTTTAATACCAGACTGGGACATTAAACATTCCCGAAGATATAAATATTGTCTCTAATCATTGGTAGACAGTCGAAGTAACGCTTCGGACAAACGTAATCATTCCAAGTCAGAACCATTATGAAGTAGGTCCAACTGTCCTCTTACCAGTTACTTCGGTAGCATACATACATCCATTCACTTGCATACACAGAACTGGTGAAAAAGTGACTGGGTCCACAAGAAGTCGCTTACTAGGACGGTAAAAGGAAACGTTGCGATTTCGAGGGTCTCTCCTGTTCGATTCTTGAGTAGCAAATATCCACTCATTTTTACGGTTATTATTTCCCTCCTTAAAAACTTGTGTTTCATGTTTTTCCTTCTTCGAATTATCTCGTTTTCTGTTCATAATTGCGACCCTAGTTCTTAAACGATAACAACTGAAAAAACCAGTAGAAATATAAATTTTGGGGTTGATGGTCAGTCAAAAATCCAAGTCTCCGGCAAAAGAATTGAGAAAAACTCAAAACGTCACTCGGTAGTGAACCTCGTAGTGCTGTACATGGTTTTGGACACCCGACCTAAACACCTCCAATGGGTCATCAACAGAAATTTCAGGACGACACACCTTCGCAGACTTCTACTTCTAGAAAGAACGGTAAGCAACATAAGGATCAGACAAAAAGGCACCTGAAGACCCAAACAACAGCTTACAGTTCAGAAACCACAGGAGGATGACTGCATTGTCTGCCGCCAGTTAAAATCAGCTACTCTGCATTTCACTGTAACTTCTGTTGATCGTCACTGTGATACTGCGGCGCCTAGACCATGCTATGGGGTCGTGCTGAGTCACCCCTCTCCGTGGTTCTGGTACATTCGTTCACAGTGCAGAATAACTGAGACAAAATAATTGGCAGTAGCAAAGACACATGCTCCACATAAAATAAACCTACGAATTAATCGCGAGTAAACCACATTCGCCCGGCACAAAACCAGACAAACGGGAGACAAAGGTGGCCGCAGTGCAAGCCCATACACTAACGGAAATACCAGTTGTACGAAGCAGTGGGTGGGTGAAAAAAATGGAAACGTCAACAGAACAGCTCGAAGAAAGCAACAAATTAGGGAATAGGACGTCAGACAAAGTTCACTAATTATATTTAATGTTCCAGTGTTAGAGGGTAACATACTGGAAAGCAGGGCTGCATTTAATGAGGAACATTAGGACAAACACAGTTCGATGCTTGGAAGAAGCAGTATCCCGGCCAAACTATGCCACCTGTTTAAGGGCCAGAACGACGCTAATGGGAAGCTCGCTACGTTGAGGTTAACTTTTGACTTGGCAAAGTTGCAGATGAAATTTTCCTACCATCTCAAAGACCCTCGGTTAAACTCGCCTCCACGATTCGAATCAGGTCCGACGAACCGTAGTCTGTAACAGCATCTGTGAGAACATCAGAATGCACCTAAGCGCAGACCAGTATGGTGGTTTATAGAGTGCCTGAGCTAGTTAGTTGTGGCTTGGATGATTCTCACTCATAATACGTGCACCGACAGCGATGTCTGTCGCTTGACTTCAGCCCTCATACCATCACGGTAATTGCCGTTTCCCGGCTCGTTCGTCCGCCATGGATTACGACTATTAAATCTATACATCTAATGACGGTGGACCTAGGAAGTCGGGAAGATCTTCAGGATTGGTAAAAAACGAAGAGCGATCTCCCGAGTCATATGAAATGATACGAGGTCAAACCTAGATCTGTGTTACAACAGAAGGATGGATCAGAAAAGTGCACAGTAGTGACAGTCAACTTCGGTCAACAACCCACGATATAAAATACGACGATCATAGTCTCACCGATTGAGTGCACCTTATAGGTATGTCACCTGCTGAGTCCTGTTCCCACAAAACTGAACAACTCGGTTTGATCAACTTGTTTGAAAATGAGCCAACGGCTGTTGATTCAGAGGTTTATTAGGTCATGAGAAAAACCACCAAGCGCCTCTTTAGCAGCGTAAGAAGACTGTAAGATCCATTTTGAAACCATTGTTTGTGAAAATCCCTTTATTTATAGATTTATAATATGTCTTCATTGATTCCTTCAGTTCTACATTTTTTAATCCGTTCAATTCCATTTTGAGATGATAATATTTGATTTTACTATGGTTTCTAAATTTTGTGCCTTTACAGAGTTTCTATGTTTCTTTCTGAACTGCATCATATTGTTTAAGCTGATTCTTAGTTGTGGCGACAGCCATATTGGTTTGTTCCACCTTTGGTTGGACTGACTGGAAGTGTGTATTTTGATTGTGAATTGTAGCATTCTTCCAAAAATGGAAACACACTGAAGGAATAACCGACTGGTAATATTGTTTAGGTAATGATGTTGATTTATATTTATGATTAATATCAGAATGGTTACTTACCAAAATCACTTGTTTTGGATTTGAACTAGCCAAGACGAGTATCTAAATTACCTGGACAGTTATTCCTCAGTCCAAATCCCAGTTTGGATCTTACAGATCTAAACAATATTAGTAGATTGGAGTTCTTTGGCTAACGTTTCGTGAGTTTCACGTATCACAATGCCGAATTCTGGTCAAAAGAAGCCAAGCTCAAGTCTCTTTGGAGGTCAAGGAGACAGACTGAACGACGAATCCCCTATTATAAAGCAAGTGCTTTTTGACGTTATTATGAGTCATGGTTCACACTCAGATAGGGTCAATTATCATGATAGTGACTCCAGCCGTAAGTCGTTGTTAGAGGGCACTAAGAGCATGTTCATGTTAAACAAGACAGTGCCATGGTCAATACTTCCTTTTGGCTCATGGAACTGGTGATAAACGAAGCACTCAGACAGGACGGAAACGAGCCCCTTTTTGCCATACCAGCCGAGAGATGGCTGATATCTTCAGTACAAAATTCACCGATCAGTTAAACCTGCCATCCACGTATTCAGAGTACTACTCAAACCCAGTGCCAGCTTAGGGAATATACATGTTACTCCTGATTTATTACAAAGGAAACTAAAATCATTGCGCCCTATAGTCCTGAAACAGTGTGCATAAGCCCTCTGTTCACCGTAAGTGACCTGTTTAGGCAATCGCTGAAGTCATACCAACTCCCGGTTGAATGGAAATGAGCTACTCTCTCCCAAATCTTCGAAGAATGAGGTGGGAAGGACCCAACCTGTTACAGACTAATCGCATTACTACCAGTACCATCAAATGTTGTGTAAAGGCTAGCAAACAGACTGATGAGAGAGTACATGGATAAGAAGAAAATACTCCATGACGCTCAACATGGGTTGCGGAAATGCAGGTTGTTCTCATCCAATCTTCTCATGTCGTGGAACAGCTGGAAAACTGACTTGGATAGAAAAATACCGATGCACATAATATTTCCTGACTTCACGAAAGCCTTGGAAACAGTGCTCCACTCACATCTAATTGCGAAGGTTGTGGAAATGAACTTCACTGGCCCGCTCCTATTTTGGTTTAGAAACTACCTTGAGAATAGGAAGTTTCGTACCAAGGTAAGTAGAATGCATGCGAGCTGGTGAGTATCCACATCGGTAGTTTCACAGGGACCATCTAGGGCTCACTTCTCTTACCAATATTTATTGACGATCGGTTAGGCTCAGTTAGCTCACCATTACTGATCCACGCAGATGATGCGAAGATCTGGAGATCCATTAGAAGCGAAGAGGACTCGATTAAGCTTCAAAAGGACCTCATATCCATCGGTGAATGGGCAGTGAAAAATGGTTTAAGGCTAAACCAGCAGAAATGTTACGTCATGTACATTCTGCCCCACACGACATTAGTGATTTACACTCTCAACGAAAGTCCGCTCCCTAATGTCTCCTCAGAGCGCAATCTCGGTTCAATAACCAATGTAAGCTTTGACACCAGTTCGAACTCTATAAGAGACTCAGCCAAGGCAGATGCAACTCTTCACTTGGTGCTATCAACCCACAAATATTCTTATCACTGTTTAAGACACATACAAGCCCATACCTTGAGGTCTAAAACGTCGTCGCACCCTCTCTTCTTAAAAGAGAAATAAATCTCTTGCACCGAGTGCAGAGACGAGCAACGAAATGGGTGATATGTTTGGAAAACAAAACTTACAAATGTAGATTCCAGCATTTGGGGTCATTTCCGTTAAATTACAGGAGAATCGGAGTTGACGTGATTATGGCGTACAACATATTAAGCACGCCAAACCATCCCAACATGAGCACCTTACCGATGCATCACCACCACTCCCCTAGAGGCAACCCTCAAAAAATTGCGTATCAAAGAGCGAATACTCAGGTTTGTGCACACTTTTAATCACTAAGAGTCATGGCAACTTGGAACGCTCTGCCGACCGAGGTGACCACAGCTCCCTCAGTGGACAGCTTTAAGAAGAGACTTGATAAACACGTACTCACATACGAATTATCATCTTTCTCGTGGAAAAGCTATGCCTGATGCATGTCTTGAGACCTGCTAGTTGTTATCATTGCCACCTTCTCAGATCACTAACCTAGTCTGTCCCGCTTATTATTTCTCTTTCCTCCCCTTTGCTTACACTTCGGTCCTCTCTCACAATCTTCACAACTAATTAATAGACTAAATTATCTATTTATTTACTTAGTTATGAAATCTTATTAGCATTAGAATTTTATTTTTATTATTTTCTATACTGCAAATAACTGATCTCCTGCCTAGCAATGTGATAGCTGCTGGTATCCAGAAACCTTACTGCCCTGAAACAAGCGTAATTATTCAAATCACGGAACATACAAACTCACAAATAACTAGAATTAGACAGTCAAGTGGCTAGACTCCCACTCATTGAACACAACCAAAAACCTGGAACCATGCCGAAAGAACAATAATCGAGTGCAAATATATCAATTGGTTTATACCCGCCCGTAAAAAAGAAATTGGATATTGAAGAGGATCAGTTTTGAGCTGAAGGTCGCCATCGGTTTCTGTTTTCTTCTTAGATGATTGACTAACCCTTATGGCTCTATCGTTTGACGACAAACTTCTTGGTGAAAAAGTTCACAATTATTGTAGCAGTAGTGAAGGCGAAGAAGACAGTGAAGATAGCGGAGAGGAGAATGAATCTGCAACTACAGTTCCAGAAAGTGTAAATCCCCCAAGTCTGTCTCATCCTGGCTATCCGCAGGTTGGAAGTATTTTCAATATATCATTGTCTTAGACTGGACCAAAGGGTGTAGTTGCTGATTATGAACGTTTTAAAAGGTTAGAAAGCGAAAGGAACGCTGAGAAAGAACGAAAAATTGCCGAATATGCAAAACAACATTCCCTTAGTTGCAGACCTTATGTGTGTAGTTATAACACTGTTTATTATTTTTAAGAGTGAAGATAAACAGACGTATCCACCTGAAGAAACTTCAGATGATAGTGACGACGAATTTCTGAATCAATATAGGCGAAACAGAATTAATGAACTCCAAACCGCTACTAAAAATTTGTAACCCCTCAACTTGTAGCAAACATTTACTATTTTAGACCGACTTTCAACAAGATCTACGACCTTGTAGCAGACACATTTGTTGAAGAGATAGATAACACAAACAAGGAGACAACTGTTATTGTTTTTATTTATGAAAATGTAAGTGACGGTTTTTATGCATTATAAATTCAAAGGGTAATAAATCTTGTGCAAAAGTCAACACTTGTCTGGAAAAAATATTTGAAGATTATCCGCATGTGAAGTTTTGCAGAATTCGAGCTTCTGATGCTTATCTAAGTTACCGATTCGTAAGTTTTGTTTGTACCTTGTTATACCATATTTTCTAGTTTTATACCTATAGTTCTACCTACATACACTTTTTCGTTTTGCGAGGTGACTTGTTTGTTTTATTGACGATTCCGATTTTTATGCGAACTACGTGGCTACCCAACTACTCTTATTTGAAATATCTGACCCTTAGTTTTGAAGCACTAAGGACTTCGTTTAATCCTTAGGAATTATAAAGTACGTTTTTTTATTCTGAATAAGATAGTAGTTAGGTTGTTATGCGTCCATGAATAGATAATGTAATATTCCAGTTACTTAAGGCGTTCGTAGTCAAATACCGAGTGATGCAATCACAAACACCTGGGTCGTTGTATAATGATGTCCGTGCGATTGTAGTGTCATTGATATACTGGGTAAACCGTAAGTACTGTATGTTATTGTAACATCAAACAAATTTCATGTTATAAAGTCAGATAGTAAGTAGGAAGTGCAAATAGGGAGGAACTGCTAGTGAGTGACGTATTCACGTACCGTAGGTCACTACTTGTTTCTCAGTCTGGACCATCTCGTCATTATGGGTGATTTCTGTCATGTGGCATGGTATTCAGGTATTGGAGAATTGTACATTAATTATACCATACTGGCTATCGCGTAACGGTTTACATCGTATGCGTATTTAAATCATTAGAATTACGATTGCTAATCAATGCTACTGAGTGCACCATACAAAAGTGGAGTGACCCTTATTTCCTCAAACAACATACAGTTTAGCGAAAAAATGTTTGTTCGTCAAGAGGGATGTGGTATATGTTGTATGACTAGAAGTTCCTTACTTGATGAATGATTTGTATTTTGTTGCTGTCGTTACTTGGTTATTATTTGTATGTCAAATTGTTTACTGTTTAACCTTTCACTAGCTCATTTAATCTTTGTAACTTATACATGTTTTTATAGTCTCATCATGGTGTTCCTGCCATTGTAGTCTACAAAAATGGAGAGGTGATAGGGAATCTGCTTTCCATTACTAGAGATCTTGATCGAGAATTCTATCCAAGCGATCTGGAAAATTACCTAATTGAGTAGGTGAAATGGTAGTATTTTGTGTATTTAATTTTAATTGTTAGTATTTATGACAAAATAGTCAGTCAGTCAGATGCAACGGAGAACTTCGTACGTAAGTACATCAGTTCATGTCGCCATACCACATCAGCACAGAAATATAATTGTCAATTCAAATCCAATAGTAGTAGAGGTAATAAAGGTATAAGTAATCGGAGAGGTTAGAGTATTTATAGGAAATATCCAGCCATTAATACTTAGGGTTGTGATTTTAATGAATACTTGAATACAGTATATCTTTATTAAAAATTTATTACAACGTATTATTGTATTCAGAAGTTTGGCATTTTATATCTCTTTAGTTTTGAGAAATGACATAACATGTATATATATAAAGTGGTTAATTTAATTGTTCCAACCAACTTTCTGTTAATACAAAATTATAATATGAGGGACTTAGTAGAGTAGCATGTTGAAATCCATGTTTAATTTTAATCACTTGAAAAATATGAAAAGAACAAAGTTGAATAAAAACTTAAAGATGCGGGCAAGACATTTCAAACTATTTTCATCCAATTTCAATTTCACTACTTTAACAATTGTGAAAGGGAGTGAAGTAGTTTGGTGTGTTGACCGCTCCGCCTCACTTAAGAGTCTTATCAGTGCTGATAGCCCGATGTCTGAAGAAATCTCAGCTCGGATACAGAGGGCTCGACTGGCCCCTGCCAACTTGTGTCATTTATGGGGTCGGCGAGATATCCGTCTACTAACCAAAGGATAGTTTTACTGCGCAGCAGTTCACTCCGTCCTACTTTATGGATGCGAAACATGGCCAGTAAGAGTAGAAGATATTCGTAAGCTTCTGGTATTCTATCAGAGGTGTCTTTATTCTTTGTCTTCTCTCATGAATTCAAGAGTTCAGGACCAACGTTTTGTTCATATCACTCAATAGCATGTTAAAATCTATGTTTAACTTTATTCACTTGAAAAAATATGGAAAGAAATCAAAGTTTAGTAATAGACATGGACAAAAAATCTCTTTATTAAACAATTTTCATCCAACTTTGATTTCACTATCTTTAATATTTATGTTTTTTTCTTTTTCCCATGTCAAATATTTGTAGACATGGATTTTTACCTGATAAAACAATGATTCAATCTAATCCAATGATAAATTCATGTTCTGATGTTTGTAAAGGAAATTAATCTTTATTATGTATGTGCATTTTGATTCTTCATATTATATGCATTTTACTTAGCCAAAGTAAATAGTTGGTTTCTTTTTTGTATAACTTCTTTACCGTCTTTTTTTTGTTAATATTATTTGAAAATGTTAAATATTGTGATAATTGTTGTAAAATATCTTAAAATAAATATAGTTTTCCTAATAACCTTTTTACAATCTGTTGATGTCATTAAATTAACACAGGTAGTAAATTCAATTCTTAATGTTTCCTTGGTCCCATTACATTGGATTTGATTGTGACCAATTTGGTCTCCTGTGGTTTTATGGGTATGAGGGCGGATGCTGCTGCCCACACCGTGGAAGGGTTCTGGTTGTCAGGTCAATAGATGAAGTATTGAAACTTCATCAGTTAGGGTGGTTGGGACATATGTTACGTATGCCTCACCACCAACTGCCTCGTCGAACTATATTTTATGGTGTAGGAATGGGTTGGAAGAAAACTAAGGGCGGCCAGACCAAAACATGGCAGAAATCCATGGAGTCACTGACAAGTGGACTGAGTCATGTTGGTAGGTGTCGACTACCTGGTTGGGGCCCGCGAGATGATAATAATCGATTGTTAGAGACCCTGAATGACATGGCTCAAAACCGTTCGCAATGGCGCAGGTGCACTCATTCCTTGTGTTCTCTCAAATCCTAAACTTTTTCTTAACTCACTAGAAAATGCGTAATTCTCAATGGTTCTCCAGCTGTTACGGGTATGAGGGCGGATGTCACTTCCCGGCTACCCACACCGTGGGTGTTTCTTGAGGAACCTGAAAAGGAAGATGGATTAGTGTTGATGCGTGACCACAGAGCCCAAGGGACAACTGCTTGAGGCCGGTCACGTACAGCCTTTTTATGAAGGGTTTTTAGAGTATTAGCTCCGCTCTTAAAAGCCGATTGTGGGCACCCTTACCCAGGGAGACGGAAATCCGTGAGGTAGGGTGAGGTGTGAAATTTTTAGGGTCGACCTTTTCTAACCCTTCCTTCCTTGTGAGAAGGCAGCATCGCTGCATATGCCGGTTTTCTGAGGGAAACACCTTACTGCTGTCACACCCCTCTACAGTCAGCAGTATGACTTCGCCCTCAGAACTTGGGTAGCTGCTTTTAGTCTCATCGTTCTCCAATCGACTTGTCTGACTGTCATGGTAGAACCTTCAGGAACATATGTTCCAGCCAATATAGCTCGGTTGAGTCATCATGATAGGCAAGCCCGACCACCACGTCAAGGTAGCAGCTTCGGTCGGGGTTCTCCAGCTGCACCATCAGGAACATATAACAATATAAACGACAAAAGTAAAGTCAAATATCATTGTAATAAAATAACTTTGTTTTGTTTCTACAAGTATGCATTTCTAATTACCCTGTTCTTTTCTCTGTTCAAATTTGACAAAAAAGGAAGAAACAGCGAAAAATTAAAGAATAACTTGTTACTATATAAAAAAAGAAAAGTAATCAATATTGTTTAGAATTCAACAAGTCAACAAAAATAAAAATAGTAAATAAATTAAAAAAAGGAGAGAAAATGATCCGAGAAAAAAAATAAGTTCATGAATATACAAATCAATTGGTTCAGTGACTGTACACAAATTACACTTTGATCATTTACATATTGTTGATCTATTTACAAAGAAGCATTTCTGTTTTGAGTGATAGATAGATAGATAGACACGTCGACATGTCTTTCTTGCGTGAGATGGATAGATAGATAGACATGTCAACATGTCTTTTTTACATAAGAAAATTAATTCAATGATTGGGAAAATGATTAGAAAAATAATAAGCCAATAGAATAAATAAATGATTTCATAAATATACAAACAATGTGATGAATAAGATTTCTTTTTTCTTTTTAATTCGTTGATGAATATTGAACATTATGATGCGTGGTTGATTTGAGTTGCATTAATTCATTTGTTAAAGCTTCAATCTATAATAATAATAATTTTAATAAAAATAAAGTTTATTAAAATATGTTGTAATTTGGGGAAAAAATGTGTTGTTTGAAAGTTGGATTATGATCATGGCTCCTAAATCTGTTTGCAATGGGTGTAGGTGCATTCATTCTTTGTGTGTCCTCTATCAAATCCTTCATCTTCTGAATTCCTCATCACCTTTTTCTGTTAGGATATTCACCAGACATCCTAAGAAATATCAATTTCTAAGTGTAAATTCTATTGGTCGATTCCTATTGGCCAATATTATGGTCGTCCTAGCTATCAATGTCACGTACTTCAATGTTGTTTCTTATTGGTCGTCTTAACTGTCGATGCTGTTTCCTATTCGACCTGAATGTATAAATAAGCATTATCTGTAACGATTTATGACCCAGATCCTTAGTCTGGGGTCCTGATTCTCTTCTGGATTCGGACCTTGTACTATCTGGATGCTTGTAGAATACAGGTTCTACTTCATCTCGAGTCTTCTTTTTTACTCAATGGGGGTTGGGACACTCGGATTAGAGTAGTATGTCGTGTCGCCGGATCCTCGTTCTCGCTTTCCGATCAAGGTAAACTCGTAATAGTTCAAGCATATCAATGACATGTTAACGTGCATAGGTAACATTTTATTTTAAAATTTATTTCACTAGATTCTATTTCTTGAATAATATCATCGTACCCTAATCTCTTTGATTACTTAATAATACTTCTACTACCTCTACTACTATGGGATTTGAGTCGACAATTGCATCTGTGTGTGTTGTAATGTGGTATGGCAATTGGAACTGATGTACGTACGTACGAAGTCCTATGTTGTTGTTGTTGTTGACTGACTTCTGACTAGAACCAACTAGATAATATGATAAAACTAGAGAGCCTCGACTTACTTTTGTCAGCTTGCATCATTTATGGACTAAGCGACATATCTGTGTACTAACCAAAAGACGAGTCCGATGAGCAGTTAGCTCAGTCACACACTATACGGGTGTGAAATATAGCCACTAAGAAGCGTGAATATTCATAGGTTATTAGTATTTCATCAAATATCTTATAAGCATTGCTCGTGTATCCTGGGACAATCACCCGACCGTAGCTGCTACCTTGACCTAGTGGTTGAGCTTGTCTATCGTGTTCATCCAACCGACCTATATTGGCTCAACCAGGTAGTGGAGTCTACACCTACTAACATGACTCAATTAACTTATCAGTGACTTCATGGATTTGTGCCATGTTTTGGTTTGGCCGCCACTAGCTTTCTTCCAGCCTACTCCTACATCAAAAAACATCGCTCATCGAGGCAGTCGGTGGTTGGACATTCGTAACATATGTCCCAACCACCTCAACTGATGAAGTTTCACTAATAGAATACAATGAAAGGAATTCAAATCGTTTTACTGACAAACATCATTTCAGATAACTATTTATTTTTCGGTAAACAATCTCAAATCCTTATAGATCAACAATCATTAATTAGGGTACAATTCAAATATAAGCAGATAATTGAATTTCTTATTATGATTTCTTTTCAAACAAGAAATTCCTACATTCAAAGTTAACTTTACCTTATCTTTCAATAGTTTATTCTCTGCAGCATATCGATTAATTAAGATATTATGAAATGAATTGGTAGTGTTTATTTGAGGAGAAGAAGATGAATCTGATAATAACTGACTGTTGTCATGGTTTGCAGCATTATGATGATCATTTATAGTATGATGAATTGGTTCTGCATTCATTGGATATTGATCAATTGCGATTTGAAATACACCATGTTCATTTAGTTCAATGATCAATCCTTGTTGAAGAAATAACTATTGAAATATATGATATAAGATATGAATAATAATGTTTTTATTGATACTAACTGATAAACTGTGGCGAATTATTCAATATTTATGAATGTAAAATGTTGAAAATTTTTCATCTATGGGACTTATGAATTTCCAGGGGAAATTTTGACGAATATCCAATGTGGATTGAAAAACTATCAAGATTTAGCCAGAAATTACCACCGGACAAAGTGAAGTAATAGAAAATCCTATGCGGTGGAGTTTCGTTCACTGAGCTGAGGATGTTTTGGTTGTAGAGCTTTCATTGTTCTTCTGAACACGACAACATCATCAGCAGAAACTTCAGATAGAAGTGAAGTATTCTGAAGTTTGTGCTGATGTTGTCGTGTTCAGAAGAACAATGAAAGCTCCATAACCAAAACATCCTCAGCTCAGTGAACGAAACTCCACCACAATCCTTGAAATGCTCGCCAATTGATATGCTTGAATTCTGTTACGAGTTCACCTTACTCGGTCAACGATTAAGTGACACGATAGGCTATTCTAATCCGTTCGTTCCAGTCCCGGTTAACTAGATCAGAAGTCTTGATAAGGCGTAGAGAGTGTATTCTACAAGTACCCACAATATACGAGGTGTCCAAGCACACAAATCAAGCTTATTCATACAATGATAGAAACAGCCTTGGGAGAGCCACAAAATAGCATACTAAAATAATCCATCAACCAATGACGGTCAAGGATTTTCCGAGGGGGAAATGCGAGCTGAAGGTCAACTGCAGCGAAAACACGAAAATTCAAAATTTCAGAATAAAATTACAAAATTAGGATCTTTCCCAAGTAAATTCTGGGGATCTAACGTCCCCAACAATCATTCACCTGAGCTATAAATTTTCTCCACCATCTTAAAATCCTCTGCATAGATTGTTGCAATATATTTCTCTTTATTAAAATTGGATAGTGAATAGTAATAGACTTCAGAATGCGCAGTTCATTATATTTAGAAATCGCTAGTTGAATGCACCTGTACCCTAGTGTTGATGTTATTATCACAACGGTTGCGGGTACATTTATAGCTAATAAGTCCAGGGATTCTATTGCTTGCCATTATACAAACTTGATGAAAACTTGTAACTTTATTACAATAATCGAGGCAATCTATTCAAGATACATATAATCCTAACTGATTCCTAACCGTTTAAAATATTGAATAAAAGCACTATTTACATATTACATGCATTCTAATTTTGACCATGTAAAATACGATAGAGGAACACGTTAGAAGATGCAGTCCTACGGTAGCCAGTGAACTACGATAGGTTCGTACACTGTTTGTTCGATAAAGATTCTGGAGCCCACGTGCACTCATTAGTTTGAAATCAGAGTTTTGCAACTCCTCTCGGTGGATCCTCCGTAAACAACTACCAACCCGGTTTAAGCCCCAGTCAGACATTCTCTTTCGTTATTTCAATATCGTAAACAACACTCCCACCACCAGAAAGCAAAGAGTAGGACTAGCGTGGTTGTGGCCATAAGATAATATTTCGAGAGAGAGAGAGAGAGAGAGAGAACAGACTCTTCATCCTCTCGGTCATATCACGCCATTTGGTTGGTAGTCAGCTTCACTACTCTATTTTACACTCATAAATTTCGATCTCGCAGTATCTCATCTCTCAAAAAGAGATAGCTAAATAGGAAAATATACTAATCATTGCAATGTTACTACTTATGAGAAGACTGAGGCAGGCGAGGAAGATTGTATTTAGCAAATTTACACTCTGAGTCAGTTAGTTAAAAACGAAAACATTACATTGAACACTCTATTTGCACACCATCTTTGAGTCCTGACTTCCAACACTCCATCCTTCTTCCATTCCTGTTGTTGCTTCCTTTCCTTCTTGCTTTTGCTCCATTTGCTCTCCGTTTTCCTCTTCTGACTGTGAGACTTCTTCTTTCACATCCCTTCTTATACTACTTATATCGTTCGTATAAGTAGCACACATCACACTTATAACATTCAACAATCATAATTAATGTTAATTAAAACAAGAAAATCAATAAACAACAACAACAACATTGAACATACTTGTTTGAGAAGTTTCAGTTGTCCTACATTTTCATCAACATTTTCTGAGTGCAATTTCATTGATAAATTGCCTTGTTTTAACAATAGACGAATGAAACATCTTGGAAGTGAGCTACTGTTATTATTATTATTATTATTGTCCACACGATCGCTAGGTATGCTATTCAATATTACAGAAGAATTCAATTGATTTATACTATCAATTTGATGCCGTATATGAGTGAAAATTTGTTCAATTTTCAATGGTATAATCAATTGCCAATTTTTTAATAAAATAGCATTAATATACACCCATGGATAATTAGTATTGGTTATTGTTGATGGATTGAATTCCCCAAGGTCACCGCCGCCGCCACCACCAGCACTTATGGTTGGATCACCACCGAAACTTAGAAAAATTGACCATAAATAATTTGATTGTAAGCATTTTTGATGTTGTGGTGTTTGATTCAAATCAATATGAGTTGGAGAGAAAGGAGAAGTAATACAACAATCTAATGATTCTTCATGTTTTGTAAATAATTGAAGTGATTTGAATACAATCCAAAAACGTGATTCTAAATTTGTAGCATCTAAGATAAACAAAAAATATAAGAGAAATAATAACGTAACTTATTTCAGCAAGCACCGCGTGAAGTTCCCCTCTGCAGTTTGTGTCGATTCTAAGCCCCGATTAAGAAGGAGGGTTACGCATGGGGTTAGCGACTTCATCCCGTACAAATACGGGACAGTCAGTCAGTCAGATGCAACGTAGAAATTCGTACGTAAGTACATCAGTTCATGTTGCCATACCACATCAGCACAGAGATATAATTGTCAATTCAAATCCAATAGTAGTACAGGTAGTAAAGGTATAAGTAATCGGAGAGGTTACGATTAGAAGATATTATTCAAGAAGTATGGTTAAATGAGAAAAGTTTAGAAAGTCAAAACTAGAGGTGTTGAAGAATCCAGAAGATTAGCATTTCAGAGAACACAAAGAATAAATGCACCGTTGCCATTGCGAACGATTTTGAACCATGTCATTAAGGTCTCTAACCATCGATTATTATCATCTCGCGGACACCAACCAGGTAGTCGACAATTACCGACATGACTCAGTCCACTCGTCAATGACTTCATGGATTTCTGCCATGTTTTGGTTTGGCCGCCCCCAACTTTCTTCCAACCTATTCCTACACCACAAAACAAAGCTCGACGAGGCAGTCGGTGGTTAGGTATACGCAGAGCATGTCCCAACCACCTCAACTGATGAAGTTTCACCACTTCATCTATTGATCTGCCATCCTTACCTAGCACCCGTTTCCTAACAACAGCATAGCTTACTCGAGTGTTCCACGATATACGAGCAATGCTTCGAAGACACCTATGATCGAAAACCAGTAACCTACGAATATCTTCTACTCTCACTGACCATGTTTCATAGCCATAAAGTAGGACGGAGCGAACTACTGCACAGAACACTCGTCCTTTAGTCAGCAAACGGATATCTCGCCTACTCCATAAGTGACGCAGGTTGGCAAAAGCCAATCGAGCTTTCTGTATCCGTGCTGAGATTTTGTCAGTCACCAGGCCATCGGCACTGATGATACTCCCAAGATAAGTGAAGCGGTCTACATGTTCGACTACTTCACTCCCTATCACTAGTTCAGGTGCCGATAATTCACTGCTCGGCAGCCTATACTTCATTAAGAGTAACAGTCGTAAGTAAGTAAGCAAGCAAGTTACTTATTTAAACAAGTGTAGATTTGTGTTTTGAACTAATTGGTGATACTAGGTGATTATTTCGAATCTAATGTCGATGAGATAGGGATTTGAACGAAGTACTTAAATATTTACTCCTTGACTGTTTTTATTGGTATATTTATGAAATGGAACTCCGTCTGGAGTCTTTCTAGGGTTATTGCCGGTTTCAAGCCCAGATAAATGAGGAGGGTTGGGCATGGGGGGGTAGTGACCTCATCCCGGTAAAAATCCAGCTCGCTAACAAAAACGCTAACCAGAAAATTAATTCACTCGTCAGCGGACTATGCTTCATTAGGGGGCAACAGGCGTAAGTAAGTAAGTAAGTAAATTTATGGAATGACTATTAGAACAAAGAAATTAAGGATTTCTGAATTAATTACAATCGGATTACACTTGTTTGTCACATCTCAATTTAGTGTAAATCACGCATACATTTTAATTGAAATCGTTACTGAGCACTGAAAAGTAATCATTACTGTTATTGACCTATTTATCTCTATGACGTATTATGAAATCAATAATAATAACTACATTAACCTTATACAGGCTCTCTAATCGAACATTACTGGTCAAGTTAGAGCTTATGGCGAACTGTCAACGGAATTGATTACTTCATGTAGTGTCCGTCAGGGCTGTCCACTCTCTCTATTCCTGTTTAGCTTTGTCATAGACATACGTTTAGAGATAACATTATCTTCGTCTGACAATTGCATCTCTGTGTGCTAATATAGTATAGCAACTTAAACTGATGTACGTAGGTACGTACGTACGAAGTTCCACATTGTAACTGACTGACAAAATATATACATATAGCTAGTTTTTGACTCGGTTAGCCAATATAATCAATCTTACTTTAAACTTGAAGTAGTTGATTGAGCTTATTTATCCATATCAGAATTAGACACAGAATCAATAGCTTAAACTAGTCCATCTAGTTAGCTGTTATCACAAAATTTTATTCATATACACAACCAGTGAAAGGAAATATTGATTAATGAATTCCACTATGATTAATAGTTATGATTCAATATTATTGTAATTATATAATACTGACCTGCTTCACATGAAAATCCAGTCAATTGTATAATGACACTTGATAGATTCAACTTTTTCCATTGATAAAATCTTTCATAATCAGTAGTATTTTCTTGTGATTTTGCCTGTTCGTTGGCTGCTGATGCTGATGCTGTGGTCAGATCAATAGTGGTGGTCATAGTATTAGTAGTAGTAGTCGGAGAATTCAATGTACCTGGTGGTGTGAAAACATCTACATCCGATAATTCTGAACCAATTTCATCTGGACCCAATAGAAGGGATGATGAATTGAATGAATGCTGATGATGAAGTGGCAGTAAAAATAGATCATCATTTTTATTTGTACATGATGTTTTTACATCAGATAAAGCTTCATATGGTTTAGTCCAATCATCTGTTGAACCGGATATACTTTGTAGATCAGATAAATCACTGGAAATTGAAAACTGATGATTCATATGATTAGTAGATGAATTGTTTAATAAAACATCATCCTAAAATAAGGAAAAGAAATTTACAATTATTTGTTTGACTACTTATCATTTTTGTAAGTAGTGAAAAAAAACATACAAAGATTTTACGAAATATGTAGATTGATCGGAGACAATAACCAGTTGATGGAAGTTAAACAATTAATATAAATGGTGTATTAGTATTTAGCTAGTGTGGAATTAACAATGTACTTTGATAATGCTATATGTTACATAACCACAGTTGACTGAATAAGATGTCATAGAATAGATTAACTAATATGGATGTTTATTTCAAAATGGACCGACACGATATGATTGTTATTTAAAACGTAAGCGATCAAATGACGCCTAAATGGTATTTCCCTTATTATCTGAATAAAGAGCTTTGGAAAAATAAATTACTTGATCTTTTTTTGTTTCCTATAGTCAAAGATTCAACCATAAACAGTCATAGGATTCAACTGGACTTCACCTCCTTCAGTTCTACCATACGGATGCGAAACATGGCCGTTAAGAATAGAGGACATCCGTAGGTTACTACTATTCGATCATAGATGTTTAAGAAGCATTGCTCGTATATCCTGGAACGACCGAGTAAGCAATGCTATCGTTAGGAAACGAGTTCTAGGTAGGGATGGCAAATCAGTAGATGAAGTAGTGAAACTTCATCAGTTGAGGTGGTTGGGACATGTGTTACTCATGCCCAACCACTGACTGCCTCGACGAGCTATGTCTTGTGGTGTAGGAGTATGTTGGAAGAAAGTTAGGGGCGGCCAAACCAAAACATGGTAGCGGTGTGATTGACCATTTTTGTCATGGATTAATATCAATTTGGAGGAGGGGGGATCATTGAAAATTGGGAATGTTGCATATCCGTTTCAGTATAGTCTAAAAATCCAAACTCATCCGCTGTGGTCAAGGCTATTCATAAAGTGGTTTATAAGCAGTATACAGCAGAGTGTCGCCCAGAAACTACTACTAGAGGAAACTTTGTCAGCAGATTGAAATGCATGGTGTGATCAGTGTTTTTTCGATAAACATGTAAGTGAAGACAGTCAATAATCTTCTTGTACAACAGATGGATGTCTAAAGATGAGGTATATATACTTTGTTAATAAACTGTCTCCTCTAAATACTTATCACTCTATTAGGTCTCGACTTCGAAGCATATTACACCACAAACCCACACGAAATGGTACTCTAAACTTTTAAGTCTATCGATAAGCATGTTGCCTTTGAATCACTTAGTCAAAAGTCACTGGTTCACATTGTCAACTTTATTCATTTTACAATATAGAGCAATGATAATCCAACGTTAATGATGACAACAGTTCCCACTTATCACATATTTGAATAGCATCCCGCATCCTAATTATGGTATCTCATAAGCAACTTAAGAGCATACGCTTATATTTTTTCTGTGAATGGTATTTCGAGTATATAAAACGTAGGTTTTCAACTCAGTGATTAAAATGATGTATGCTAACTACCGGACTTGAATGTCTTGACTTCGGACTTTATGTGAAGTTGTGAATATGCTCTATTGAAGAGTTTTAAACTATATGTTATGATATTCATCAAATATCCTAAAGAAATTATTTTGTAAGTCTAATTCTATTGCTTAATTCCTATTGGTCAATATTTTCAAGGTCGTCCTAGACTATCAAGTTCACATACTTTCAAATGTCCCTTCCTATTGGTTAGTATTCACGATCGACCGAACTGTATAAGTATGCATCATCTGTAAAGTTTTATGCTACTCCTGTTCTTCTGCTGCACAAAACCTCGATTTTCAGTGTGCTTGTAGAATACACTTTCTACGCACAAATCAAGACATTTTGATACCGTTAAGAGGAGCTTGAGACGCCCGGATTAGAGTAGTCTATCGTGTCAATGGATTATATTGTCTTCGCTCATGTTTACCGACTAAGGTGAACACACTCGTAAATAGTTTCAAGCATATCACAATTTGAAGAGCATAACACTATAGGACACAAAGAAAACTGTATTTAAAGAAAAAAGTCACAAAAAAGTAACATTTTTGCAATGACGACAACAACAACAACAACGACCAACTACTTACCACAACAGAATTAAACGTAAGAGGAAGATTATTTTCAGAAAGTGGTGTATTTTGTGACTGTTTATCTCCATTCACAACTGGGTTACATTCATTTTTATCATTATTATTAACAGATGGAGGAACTATTGAACGATTTCGATATTTTTTTAAAAATATTTTAGGCGATAATGAATTAGAATTAATTAACTTATTCATATATTTATTATTATTATTATTATTATTACTATTTTTATTATTCTCAATAATTCCAATACTACTATTAAAATGACAATCATTATAATAGAATGTGGATTGTTGCCTATCCTCTGATGAATGAATACGTCCACGCATTGATTTACGAAAATTGATTATACTTGATTTACTACTACTAATATTACTGTTTAACACAAAACTACCACCAGTTTTCAATGATAATGTATCCAATGAAGGTGTTAACATGGAATGATGATGACGTAATAGTCGTGGTAGGGGAGTTGGTTGAGAAGATAACGCCACTGATTCACAACAACCATTGCCACCACCAATAGTACCAGTGGTAGTAGTAGGAGATGGTGTAGAAAAATGTGAAAATTTTGTCAAAGATCCCACTGATGATGGTGATGAAGCTGTCAATGATGTGGTTGATAAAGATTTTTTTGGAAAATAACTGACATTTTCAACGAATACATTTTGATTCATATCAATATTAGGATGATGATCAGTATTATTACTATTATTATCATTATTACTATTATTAGTATTATTATGATTATTCTCATTTAAACAAGTGGATAAGATTGATTCTGTCGGAATTTGATCAGATAATAATTTGTTTTCATGACAAAAATAATTTACATTTAATTCAATTGATCGAAATGTAGAAAATTGGATACAATACAATAATGAAACATCATTATTGATTACTGGTGGCGATGACGCATGATGCGTCAATAACGAGGATTGTTGTTGTTGATTTTTAGTCATTAGTAAAAATTCTTGATAATCTATAGCGAAATGAGTTTGTACATAAGAAATTTGTTCAACAATATAAAATAACAATACAATTTGATGAAATAGATCAGGAATAATTTTCAATGTTTCTTCATTTCTATCGGATTGATTAATAAGATAAGTGAATAAATGAGAATTTGTTGATAAATGATCAATGGAACCGAGGGCAACTTTAATTGGACATTGATCAATTGATGATTGATCATTATTGATCATCATTTGAGTGGAATTGGCCGGTGATTGGGAATCATCCATTGGAATGAATTTATTGTCAATGTCAATTAGAATAGAGATTGGAGATTGAACAGATGGTTGGTTATTATTATTATCACTATTATTGATTGGTATTAATGACCAGATTGTTAAAGGAAACGATTCAATGAATGATTGACGATATAACATAAAATCATTGATATGATTATGATCATGTTGATCGGAAGAATTAGTTACCATATCGATTAGCGTAAGAAATTCACTCCATACATTTGGACAATGAATACACCAGAATTGTTCTTCGAAATTCTATGAAAATAGATAGACAGACAGGTGATAAGTGAGATTTTTTTACATGTACGTTGTGTACATGCTTATTTATTGAAATTTTGGTGAAGTTTAAAATTTGAAATCATCAATCAATCATTGTTAGACAGAGCACCATTAGAAACCTAGAAGCACTGGACAGCCGTTTCGTCCTGGTATGGGACTCATCAGCAGTGCGCATCCACGACTCCTGCTCCTCACGGGATTCGAACCCAGGACCTTCGGCATTGTAGGCGAACGCCTTACCATCGGACTACTGGGCCGGCACCCAACGGTTTTAATGTCTAACTCTGATTGATCTAGGGATTTTGCGCGACCTCACCCATTTGTCTTTGGTACTTACTGCCTACACCCGACAGGGTTGAACTCCACTGGTCACGTCTTCTCAACTAGAACTCCGAGAATTTCCTCACGAAGCTAGTCACTAGTGAGCACTGTTACGATATTTTGGGGCAGAGTTTTGGAGGTTTGCGTTTTTACACATTTGAAATCATGAATCAATCCATGTTAGACCAACTATTGGAACCCTGGAAGCACTGTAAGTGATAATCGGACTCAAGACATTCACAGACTGACTCACGAACGCGTAACCTTCTAACCACTGAACCGGTATTCAATGGTTTTATTGTCTAATTCAATTAACCCACGATATTGCATGACCATCATCAAAGAGGTTAGGCGTTCGTGTGCGAGACTAAATAAAGATCTTGAGTTCATGGATTCGCACTGCTGAGGAATCCCTTATTATGACTAAACAGTCATTCAATGCTTCCAGGTTTCTAATGGTGGTCTAACATTGATAGATTCACGATTTCAATGAAACTTATTCATCTCCACAACTCTATATTGAAGATTTGAATTAAGTTTATTTTAGGATCAATATTTTCTGTACATCGTAACACGGTGAAAACAATTACTCGACCACTTTGATTTATCCATCTATAAAATACAAAATTACCAACACTACTACTTTTCTATACAATGTACATTTGTGCAAACTCTTTGATCGATATCAAAGGTGTATTTTTTATTAAAAACTGGTTTAAGTGAAATCAATCAAGTTGAATGTGCAAAACAAACTTCTCGATGACATTCGATATGATTTATGCTACTATATAAGTAACCGGATACTATTTTGTAAATAAAGAGTAATAGATACCGGTCATCATAGTGTAGACACATCATACTCACGATATGAGAACTGAAAATTTTATATCTAATAATTGCTTGTATTCAATAATACTTCAGTCAGTCAGTTACAACGTAGAACTTCGTATGTACGTACATTCCAACCGTAGCTGCTATATTGACGTGATGGTCCGGTTTGCCTATCGTGATCACCCAACAGAGTTATATTGGCTGGAACATATGTTCTTGTAGGTTCTACCATGCCAGCCAGGGAGGTCGACTGGAGAACGATGAGACTAAAAGCAGCTACTCAAGGTCTGAGGGCGAATTTGTACTGCTGACTACTGTAAAGGAGTGTGACAGCAGTAAGGTGTTTCCCTCGGACAACCAGCATCTGCAGCGATGCTATTTTCTTACAACAGAAACAAGGAGTTAGAACAGGTCAACCGTACAAATGTTACATCACCTTACCTCACGGATTTCCGTCTCCGTCGACAAGGCCTTTTAAACAAGAGTGCAGCTAACACTAAAAACTTCTCATAAAAAGGCCGTGCATGACCAGCCTCAAGAAGTTATCCCTTGGGCTCTGGGGTTACGCTCCCAGACCTCCAAGATCAACGGTAATCTATCTTCGTCTTCAGGTTACTTAAGAAACACCTCTCCACAGTGTGGGCATCCGGGAAGTGACATCCGCCCTAATATCTTATAACAACACACGAGAGCGAATTGGTGATAGTCAAATTAACAGTACTTCAGATTAGATGAATACTCTATCATAAAAGGGGGGTTTATACCTGAGATCAGTTTATTGAAAAAGCCAAATGCATTAACCGATAAACTAAAACCTTGTATAAAGAAACATTAACTTGGAATTTAATAGCCTTGTTCTGAAAGACTATTTTCGATAATTAACATGATTATATGAATAGTGTTCACTCTTTTAAACAACACATATAAATTATAACTATAACCAGAAATATGCATGTAAGTTGTTTACAATGAATTGAAGCAAGTTAGATGACTCTCCCGGTCTCCCACACCTTCTGAATTCCTCATAATCTCTACCTTTCTCCTTCTAAATTTATCGTACTGCATTATACTTCTCGAATCATATCTTCGCTCCCTAATCTTTGCCATTACTGCTAATACTTCTACTATCGCTATCACTCTTCGATTTGGACTGACAGTTGCGTCTCTGTGCTGATGTGGTATGGCAACCTGAACTTATGTACATACGTGCGAAGTTCTACGTTGCAACTGACTGACTGACCCACATTGATCTAGTTGTCAGACGGAACGTCGACCTCATGACTTGCGAAGGAACTCAGCTTTCATCACGCGACGTCATAACTTTTCTAAATGAAGACCTTTCAACTCGTAGGGAAAAGTTTAAATGGTCTGAATTATTTTTTCTGATTAGCCTGTTGTTTTGTTTAGGAATAAGATCACTAACTCCATAACCCAATCATCTGCCTTTATCCGGTCTTGGGACTGGCGGTAGCCTCAGAGGAGTTATTATTAATTAGTAAATCTTTTTATCATTATTATTTAAAAAACTTACTGGATATAAACTATGCAATTCTGTAGCGGATTCAGCTAATTGTTGAAATTTAAACAAATTCACTGATTTACGCGGAATCGAGCGTGCATTGAATGGATGATGATGATGATTATGATGATGGTGATTCATACTAGTCGCATATTGATTAGAATTTGAATGTAAATTATTCAATAGTTGTTTTAAACAATCAGCAATATTCAATGAAATTGGAGCTGCTAATGATTGTATAATAATTTGATCGGACTGGAACAAACAAAAAAAGAAGATAAGAGTGAGTGGAATGAAAAAAGCGACAACCATGACAAGAGGAGAAAGTGATAAAAAAAATTGCTGTCACCAATTATATAAATGTGTTAGGACATTGAATTAAATATTCTAAAGAAATTATTTTGTAAATCTAATCCTATTGGTCAATATTTTCAAGGTCATCCTAAACTATCATCCAGTTCACATAATTTTAAATGTTCTTTCCTATTGGTTAATAATATTTACGATCGACTTAACTGTATAAATATGCAGTGTCTGTAAAGTTTTAAGATCTTCTTTTGTATAACACCTCATATTTTCTAGGTGCTTGTAGAATACACTTTCTACGCCATATCAAGACTTTTTGATACCGTAGACTATCGTATCACTGGGTCGTATTTTCTTCGCTCACGTTTACCGACTGAGGTGAACACTCATAATAGCTTCAAGCATATCAATTTGACAGGCATAACAGAAACAGTGTTTATTATTAAAAAAAAACACGACCTAGTATAAATATGTATCGGGTTCAAGTTATCGCTTCCGTCTATGTCAAATCATGTTACATAGTGTAGATTCCAGTAATTGTATAGATTTCAACAAGGAATTTTCTGATGCAGATGTGAAGGAGCAGATTGGAGAAGCAAGGAGATATAGCATTTCTATAATTGAACAACATCTGCAACTCAAAACAACTGTCAACAAACACCAAAGTTAGAATTTTCAATACAAATGTCAAGACAGTTATACTGTATCGGGCGGAAACTTGGAGAACTACGAAAACGATCATCCAGAAGATTCAAGTATTCATTAACAGTTGTCTACGCAAAATACATCGGATCTGCTGGCCACACGCCATCAGCAACAATCTACTCAGGGCGAGAACAAACCAGATTCAAACGGAGGAAGGAATCAAAAGGAAGCGCTGTAGTTAGTGAATAGGATACGCTTTGAGGAAATCACCCGACTGCGCTACCAGACAAGCCCTCAACCTGGAACCCTCAAAGTTAAAGGAAAAGAGGAAGGCCAAGGAACACATCACGCCGAGTAATGGAGACAGACATGAGAAAAATGAACAACAATCGGATAGAACTAGAAAGAGAGGCGTAGGACAGAGTAAGTTGGAGAATACTGGTTGGCTGTCTACGCTCCAACGGGGCTAACAGACGTAAGTAAGTGAAAACATGGAATTTTGTCAATCCTGAGACAATCTATTTGAGAAATTAATGAATTCCCTAAATGATATCATAAAAATGATCTGTTCTCCTATAAGGTTATTTTCAAATTTATTTCAATGTTAACCATTATATTATGTTCTAATTAGACAATACAGTTTGGCATTTACAACGAATATCTCAACGTAATACACAAAGTCAAGACAAGATTGAATAATATGTGCCTAGAGAAGATACATTTTATTGACAAAATAATATAGACCTAATCTTCAGACATCCATTTACAAAACAAGCAGATTATTAGCTGTCTTCATCTAGATATTTTCTGATCATCAAAACACTCCTCTGATCGCATCATACATTCCGACCCACCGTTGTTCTTTCTCTCCAGTAGTAATTTGTGGTTCACACTCCACTGCATGCTACTTAGAAGCCACATCGAGAATAGTATTCAGTATCTTAGTTCAAAATTTACCATCTACATCAAGTGTGTTTCGAAAATAATGGATTACTGAAAAACACTCTCATTTGAGTAATTTCACGAGTGAGACGCTTGAATTGAAAGACTTTTTTTCGAGTACTGCATCATAAAAATGAATTCATTGTGAATAATACTTAAAATCTGCATCAAACAACTTTAAGTGATGGCAGCAGAAGTGTTTAGGAATTACAAAATAATCAATACAGTTTAAAAGAGCACAATATTAATAATGATAGAATAATTACTGACTTGTAAAACAAGTGCATGTGGTCCAATCCAATTCGATGAATTCATATAACGATTAGATGGTCCAAATAATGATGAGAATATTAACTATATAATTTGGAAAACAAAAACCCAGTGGTAATACGAATTAAATTCATTGAAAAAGATATTTCAAAGAGACTTTCAACAATTATCAACATAGGACAACATATAATATGAGCCGAAGAGGTATGCAGTCGTAGTCGATCGATAGATATTACATAAAAGTCTTGTAAAGATTAGTTTTATCTTGAAGCAATAGTTAGCATTACTCTACTGTTATATGGGTAAGAAACAAAGCAATGGACAACTGGTTTATCATATAGTATAGAGCTAGCTCCGACGCTGACAAAATGCAGAGTCTTCTGACTACCCTAAGCAACAATGCAAGCATGTTCGGGATGCGGTTCTCAACCTCGAAATGCAAAATGTTGCTTCAAGATTGGGTTTCATAGGCACCTGAACTAGTGATAGGGAGTGAAGTAGTCGAGCGTGTTGACCGCTTCACTTATCTGAGGAGTCTCATCAGTGCCAATGGCCTGGTGACTGACGAAATCTCATCACAGATACAGAAAGCTCGATTGGCTTTCACCAACCTGCGTCACTTATGGAGTAGGCGAGATATCCGTTTGCTGAATAAAGGACGAGTGTACTGCGCAGTGGTTCGCTCCGTCTTACTTTATGGCTGTGAAACATGGCCAGTGAGAGTAGAAGATATTCGTAGGTTACTGGTTTTCGATCATAGGTGTCTTCGAAGCATTGCTCGTATATCGTGGGACACCCGAGTGAGCAACGCTGTTATTAGGAAACGAGTTCTAGGTAAGGATGGCAAATCAATAGATGAAGTAATGAAACTTCATCAGTTGAGGTGGTTGGGACATGTCTTGCGTATGCCTAACCACCGACTGCCTCAAAGAGCTTTGTTTTGTAGTGTAGGAATAGCTTGGAAGAAAGTTAGGGGCGACCAAACCAAAACATGACAGAAATCCATGAAGTCATCGACAAGTGGACTTAGCCATGTCGGTAATTGTCGACTACCTGGTTGGGGTCCGCGAGATGATAATAATCGATGGTTCTTTGTGTTCTCTGAAATCCTAATCTTCTGGATTCTTCAACACCTCTAGTTTTGACTTTCTAAACTTTTCTCACTGAATCATACTTCTTGAATAATATCTTCTGATCCTAACCTCTCCGATTACTTCTAATACCCTTACTACCTATTCTACTATTGGATTTGAATTGACAATTACATCTCTGTGCTGATGTGGTATGACGACATGAACTGATGTACTTACGTACGAAGTTCTACGTTGCAACTGACTGACTGACTGAGAGCTAGCTCCCCAGTAATTCACAATGACGATACCTCTGGAAATCGATGTTTACTATCAGGTGTACCGATCTAGTTGGTTTAATGGTTAAGTGCTCGCCACAAAACCTTAAGTCCCGAGTTCAATTTCCTAATGAGATGGTAAATGAGCAATGTTAACTTTGAATGTGAGTTGCACTACTAAACAAGTGTCACGTACTTATAAACCAATGCTATACATATACAAAGTAGTGGAATATTTTATTATTTAACATTATTTTCCTAAAATCAGTTATCAAATGTTTTACATTGAAATTGTTTCATGCTGTCGAGTTTAGGCGGAAACTATCAAAGTCAGTGGGTGAGGTAGTGTAAAAAATGTTTAGATTGATCAAGGCTACACAATAATACCATTGGATGCCGGCTCAGTTGTCCAGTGGCTAAGCGTTCGTGCGCAAGACCGAAGGTTCTCATTTCGAATCCATCAGGTAGCAGGAGTCGTGGATGTGCACTGTTGACGAGTCCCATACCAGGGGACGAACTGGCCATCCAGTGCTTCCAGGTATCTAATAATAGTGATCTAATAATGATTGATATACGATTTCAATGTATATTATAACTTTATTCCTGATTACCGTTAACTATTATCAATTGCATTCGTCAATAAACAAATAGAGTAGTAGTCTATGTAGAACGTTTTAATTTTTTCTTTTCTTTTCACTGTTAAACAAAATTAATGTATGTATATTATTTTCACATTATACAACTGTTTAACAATGATGTAGCTTTAAAATGGTTTTATGATTAATGAATTTGATTTGTGACAAGTAAGGTGTAGAAGATTAAAACTAAGCTATGTCTACTTGATTTGAAGAGGTATACATGAACTTGCACTTAGTAAGAGAGTTGCACTTTTTATCGACTACCATAATCAATATGTACATTTATCAATATGTGGATGTAGTGGTATAAATCGATTCGATTTACGCCTAGTTTAGACATAATTCAATGGGTGTGAACTAATTACTTATTTTTATAGGTTTCAATGATGTCTACTAAACCAAAGGACAAGTCTACTGCGCAGTAGTTCACCTTGTTCTATTCTAAGGATATGAAGCATGACCAGTAAGAATAGAGGATATTTGAAGGTTACTGATAGTTGATTATAGGTGTCCTCGAAGCATTGCTCGACTGTCCCAACAGTCGAGTAAGCAATGCTGTTGTTGGGAAAAAAGGTACTAGCTAACGATAGTAGATCAATAGATGAAGTAGTGAAACTTCATCAATTGAGGTGTCTGGGACATGTATTACTAATATGCCTAATCATCGACTGCCTCAACGTGTGGTGTTTTGTGATGGTAAGATTAGGCTGGAATAAAGCCACGGGGCGACAAAACTAAAACATGGCACAAATCCACGAAGTTACTGACAACTGGAGTGAACCATGTGATGGTGTGTGTAGACTATCAGGTTGTGGTCCACGAGATGATAGTGACCGGCATAATTCAAAATCGTTTGCAATAGCGCAGATGGATCCATTCTTTGTCTTCTCTCAAATTCTAAGCTAAATTTGGTTGGGAGGGAGGCTAATTTTACGAACTGATTAGATTATCAACCAGAACTTTGAGGACTTATAGCCTCACGGAACACAGTTTGTCTAGTGACTACATGAAATAATTTATTCAGGTTACTTAGTTATTCGGTCAAATTAAATAAACATCCAACACAATTTTGAAGTATGTTAAAGAGGATACAATCAGTGTATTTGAAAAATCTTTTAAAGTTCTGAGCTTTTATTGGACAGACTACGTGTGTATGTATGCGTGTATGCTCAACATGGGCCAAATTACAACCGAATTTGTGTTCTACACCTAGTCAACTTGTGAATAGTCTGTAAAAAAATTAGAAAGTCATATGTGTTTTGCTTCACACAATTTCAAAAGTAAGTCCTAGGGATGCTAGATCCTCAGAACTCGCTTGATAAATGCCTTACTCTGGATTTCACGTTTGCGAACATGGGCTGATCAGTTGACGTAGAGATTTCATTTCCCACCAGGAAAATCCTTCGCTGTGATTGCCTGCTGTGTATTTTAGTGTGTTATTTTCGTAACTGTCTCAAGGACGTTTCTATGATGTATAAATAAACGAGAGTTGTGTGCTTAATTGTATTATGATTGCTAGGTGTTTGTAGAATATACTTTCTACGCTTACAAAGCCTTCTGTCTTCAGCTTGGAATTCAAGGTAGCCTATCTGGACGCTGGTAATAGTCTCGTTCGCGTTTATCGACTAAAGTGAACTCGTAATAGCTTCAAGCGTACCTAGTGACGAACATATCAGTAAGTCGGAAATTTTTCCAGGTGATTTATAAATATAGAAATAAGTGACGAAAAATATATTTTATGAGACGTCAACATCGTTAGATGCCACCGGCTCACTGGTTCACAGGTTAAGCATTCATGAGCAAGACCGATGATCTTAAGTTCCGAACCTGTGGGTAGTATTTGTCGTGGATGCACGCTGCTGATGACTTCCATATCAAGACGAAACGATCGTCTTTTCAGTGTTTTCAAGTTTCTAATAACGGTCTAACATAGATTGATTCATGATTTTTTTTAAAAAAAAACAACTCAACAATCTTCACAACACCAATAATGTATATTTTATAGTTTGAAAAATGTGCACTTACTCGAGGCATTAACGCTTCAACACGTACATGATATCGGTTTAAATCAAACCAACTATTTAATTGTTTATCCGATGGATTACTTTGATCTCTACCGGATAAAAAAGTTGACTAGATGATAAGTACAAAGAAAAAAAATAGATTTGGTTAAGTAATACTACTAATCATAAATTGAAAACAATTACAAAGTAGTAGAATACAATTAACAAACAAACAAACAAATGTAGGTATGTTTCCCAAAAATTGTTGAACAAACAGACATACACATTAAAACAAAGGTTCACTGATCAAAATTCAATTATACTCATGCAATGGTGGTTGAAACTATGAATTAGACAAGAAAAACAATTTCGACCAGTTTCTTAATAAAGTGACATATTTAAGAAGGGGGATAGTTTGTATGTTTTATGCTATTCTATAGGTTGGTAAAACAAACATACACAGTAAAACAAAGGTTCACTGATCAAAATTCAATTATGCTCATTTAATAATATTCATTCAATGGTTGGAACTATGAATTTAGAATTTGAGCTGATTATGATCGATTCAACAAGTCTAGTAAAAAGGGTATGCAATGACTAGCCTAATGAATTACAACAACCACACATATAAACGCATTTTCCTCAAACCAATTGTTGTGAATTGAAAAATTAAAAAGACAATTGAATTTCTACTAGTTACGTTTGATTGGACTAAGAAAGAATCAGAATTATCGCTGTCGTCGTATTTTCACAAATTTCTCTTATCTCATCAATCAGAATAGTAGAATGGTAAGGTGAGTTTGTTACAAAATATCATTATCAATTTACATAAGGACGTGCTTAAGATAAGTGACAAGTGTAGGGAAAACTGACTGAGGTTGAGAAAATGTCGATTTCTGAACGTTAAAACTCGCCAAACACGAAAACCAAAGTTACAGAGTTTTATTCTTTTAGCAAGGTTGTGTAGTGTCGGTGAGTCCAGAAATCGGATAAAGAAGATGGTATAGTGATTTTTTATATTCCTGTTAGAACTAGTTTACCGCGCAGATCATCTTCAGACATAGACAGTCAGTGAAGAGTCGAAAGAAAGAACTCAGACACCAAAATGTTGTAGAACAACTGTCAGATCAGATCACAATATATCATTTCTCCTTTTGTGACAACTCTTCCAAACACTAGTTGCAACAATGGAAAAAAAACCAGGAGCTCTTCTGGAGTTACTGCCAGTCCCAAGCTTGGATAAAGGAAGAGGGTCAGCGACCCCATTTCGTAGAAAACTAACTTGCCAGAAAAAACAATTCCCTCATCGGTGGCCTATGTTCAATTAGGGGGTAACAAGCGTAAGTAAGCAATTATGGAGTCATCTACATGCTTGAAGTTTGATTTGTGTATCCTCAACATATGATTCACAAAGTTTGTCCGCATAAAAAGCTAATAGCACGACGGATCAATAGTATAATTAAAAAGTGAGCCAATCAGAAGTGGCCAAATGAGGAAACTATTCGATAACCATCGGAAATGTCTTAAAGGATAAATTCATATCACCGGCCAACGAATTGACTCATTTTCTGTGGGATATATATATATATATATAAATCGTCTCGGTATGGGACTCATCAGCAATGGAGCTCAACCCTCAAGCTACTCGCTCGGATTCCAACCTAGGACCTTCAGTCTTGAGCATGAACGCCTAACCTCTGGACCACTTAACCGGCTGCTAACGGTGTTTTATCGTCTAGCTGTGACCAGTTTAAGGATTTTGCGCAAGCTCATCAATTGTATTCAATAGTTACTGCCTACACTCTACAGGGTTGAGCTTCATTGTCGATGAGCTCCATACCGGGACGAAACGACTGTCCACTGCTTCCAAGTTCCTAACAATGGTCTTACAATGACTAATTTAATGATTTCTTACGAAGTCTGAAAAATATTCAATAAATCGAATGGAAAAGAGTAAATGTGAGTAGCATTTAGGGCTGAAATGCGAATGATCAAGAAACCCACCTCCCAACCAAAAAAATAGAAACAATTTTAGTAATATTAGTAACCATATTGATTTTTGTAGATACAAGTGTAAAAAAAATGCCAAAAAAGAAACTAAACACAATAAACTAAGATTATAGTAACACAAACATGCACCATATAATGTGTATGGTGAAAAAAAATTCTAAACAAGATTTCTCTCTATAAGATAAAGGCAAGTGTTTAAGACATATCTATTGGGGAAGTTAGATCCCCAAAACTCGCTTGGTAAATGCCGTTATTTTGAATTTTATTCATGGGCTGATCGATTGACCTTGAGATCATATTTCCAACCGGGTAAATCCTTGGCTGTGATTGGTTACTGTGTTATTTTAGTGTGCTATTTTTATGACTCTCTCAAGGACGTTTCTACAATGTAGAAATAAACGCGATTCAATCCTTCAGATCATTGTGTGCTTGTTGGGTGTTTGTTGAATACACTTTCTATGCTATATCAAGACTTTTCGTTAGTTCCTTTGGGTCAACGGATCAGAGTAGCCTACCTTGACGCTGATTCCTCAATGTCTCGTTCTTGTTTATCGACTAAGGTGAACTCGTAATAAGTTTCAAGCATACCTAGTGACGAGCATAACATTATCACTTGTATGAATGAATAATAAATATCTAATGTCTATTAAATGCTCCAACATGTAGTCTAGAACGAGGTTTCGAGAGACCAGGAATGACGTTTCGTGAACTCGCATCGTTTGCATTAGCGGTGCAGTCAGATAAGGGAATGTGAGTAGAGTTCGTTGTGGAGAGAAGAGAGGTATGTGTGGGTGTAGGAAGGATTTGATTTTGACCAATTCGGTCTCTCGTGCTGTTACGGGTATGAGGGCGCTTATCACTTCCCAGCTGCCCACACCGTGGAAGGGTGTTTCTTGAGGGACCTGTAAAGGAAGATAGATTAGTGTTGGTCTTGGAGACCTGGGTGCGTGACCGCAGAGTCCAAGGGACAACTGCTTGAGGCCGGTCACGCACAGCCTTTTTATGAAAGGATTTTTGAGAATTAGCTCCGCTCTTAAAGCCCCTTAGTGGGTACCCTTACCAACGGAGACGGAAATCCGTGAGGTAGGGTGAGGTGTGACATTTTTACGGTTGAACCTTTCTAACCCTTCCTTCCTTGTGAGAAGGTAGCATCGCTGCAGATGCTGGTTGTCCTAGGGAAACACCTTACTGCCGTCACACCCCTCTGCAGTCAGCAGTACGACTTCGCCCTCAGACCTTGGGTAGCTTAGCTGCTTTTAGTCTCATCGTTCTCCAATCGACCAGCCTGGCATGGTAGGACCTGCAGGAACATAAGTTCCAACCAATATAGCTCGGTTGGGTCATCACGATAGGCAAGCCCGACCACCACGTCAAGGTAGCAACTACGGTTAATTAACCTGTTGGATCTCAATAAAGATGCATTACTTGTAGATGTTTGTAAATACAATGAATGAAAACGAGAAAGCAATCGAAATGAACAACAACATTCATACAATCACCGTAAGTTCTTTCATTTATTGATTTTTCTTGATTACATTCACTAACCATGATGTGTGTGTGTTATTTTGTACTGACATTACAACAATTGTGAAGTTACACGACAAATGAATATGAAAAAAAAACAACGACAACGGATTTCCGATGTTAAAAAATAATTTTTATAATTTTTTTCAATGTATTACCCAACATACGGATGCTACACTTAACTTTTAGGTCTCTTAGATGGTCGGGAAAATGAAAATGTTGCTTTTGCGAAAAAAAAGTCTTCTGATATAAGATAAAAGGTAACAAGGTGTGTTTGAACCTATTTTGCTTCAAGCTGCTCTGCATCTCTTACTATTCAATGCCATACGATGTATATATTATAAGCTGAAGGTTCCCTATGACAACAGAGGTTCGTTGTGATAAAGTTTAGTTTGGGCAAGTCTTGCTAATAGTTCATAAATAAATTTGGTTTGCAGGGTAAATGATTTCATTCATACCGGTGGAGGATGACTTACGACATTCCTAAGGGTAATCAATTGTCATTGGGGTGCTGTATTGCTGCATATCACCATTGCTAGTAATAATGAGTTTGACAGTCGTTTAAGCTGGATGGGTCAAATTGACCTGTTCATACTGTGCATATTGATCGGAAATAATCACTATAAGTATTAGTGTACATATATGGTGCAGTGGTCCATCAGGGTATCAAGTCCTGCGTGGTTGTACCACACTATTGAGCTGTACTGCTCACGTTGTAGTGTTAACATGTGGGCAGTGTCTGGGTCTCCTGAAAACCGAGATAAAATTACCCTTGTCAGTTGAAGTAGACTTTGTATAGTTGTAAGTAATAATAATTAACTAACATTCATGTCCAACCGTAGCTGCTACCTTGCCTATCATGATGATAAAACTGAGCTATATTGTCTGGAACATATGTTCTTGTACGTTCTACCATGCCAGGCAGGTCGATTGGAGAACGATGAGACTAAAAGCAGCAACTCAAGGTCTGAGGACGAAGTCGTACTGCTGACTACTGTAGAGGAGTGTGACAGCAGTAAGGTGTTTTCCTTGGACAATTAGAATCGAAAGCGATGCTGCCTTCTCACAAAGAAGGAAGGGTTAGAAAAGGTCGACTCTAAAAATATCACACCTCACTCTACCCAACGGATTTCGGTCTCCGGAGGTAAGGCCTATTGAAGAGCGGAGCTAACATTTCTAAAACATCACATAAAACGTGTGACTGGCCTCAAGCAGTTATCCCTTGATCCCTATAGTCACGCTTCCAAGTCATTATGAAAAACGCTTATCCCATTTCGTTTTCACACTTCTCAAGAAATATCCTTTCACGTTTTGGTCATTTCGGAAGTTAAATCCACCCTCATACCCGTCACAGCCCACCAAACACAACATACATAGATATGATGAAACAGGAATTATATACTTATCATCATATGCCTTGATACACCCTACGCCTTCAAATAACAAACAAACAGACAGACAGAGACATGCACATCAAATTTCTGAACAACAATAGTAGATTAAAATGTAAATTTAAATAAACATACAATTTGAAAGAAAGGGGCAGTACTCCGTTATTTTTTTTTTTAGAAGAAAACAAACAAACAAAGAACACAACAACAAAAAACAACAACAAAGCGAATCTGACAGGATTCTTTTTTGTTTTGATGTGCACTTTAAACAAAAACATTGGACAATGAACTACTAATACTACTACTGATAATAATAATAGTAGTAATAACAACGACAATTTCTTTGTTTTTTTTCTCTCTCACTCTCTCACTCTAGACAAACAAACACTAATCATTTAATCCATACAAACAAACCTGAAATCGAAGCTAAAAATGAATAAATAAATGAATAATTAGTTAATTAATTAATTAAACCATTGATTAATTAATTAATTATTAAACAAACGATGCAAAGTGTATGCCTTTTTTGAGCCAAGCACACAATGAAATGAACTAGTAAATAATATGACTACTACTACTACCACTATTACTATTACTACTACTACTGATATTCCGACTACAACAACAACTACTACTACTACTGTGGTGTGAGCTACTTATACGAACGATATAAGTAGTATAAGAAGAGACGTGAAAGAAGAACTCTCACGGTCAGAAGAGGAAAACGGAAAGCAAATGGAGCAAAAGCAAGAAGTAAATGGATTACCAACAGGAAGGAAAGGAAGCAACAACAGGAATGGAAGAAGGATGGAGCGTTGGAAGTCACAACTCAAAGATGGTGTGCAGATGGAGTGTTCAATGTAATGTTTTCGTTTTTAATTGACTCAGATTGTAAATTTGCTAAATACAATCTTCCTCGCCTGCCTCAGTTTTCTCACTACTACTATATAAAGTTGACCAGAATAAATTTCGGATCATTTTGGAACTTACTAGTGGTGAATAGTGAAAAAAATTAAAAAAACACTACAATGAATGTTGATATTAGTTTAATTAAAATGCGAAATAGTATCAGTCACAACACGGTAGGCAGTAACTACCAAAGACAAATGGGTGAGGTCGCACAAAATCTCTAGATTGATCAGAGTTAGACATTAACACTATTGGATGCCAACGGCCCAGTGGTCCGATGGTTAGGCATTCGCGCACAATATCGAAGGTCCCGGGTTAGAATCCTGCGAAGTTCAGTAGTCGTGGATGCGCACTGCTGATGAATTCCATACCAGGACGAAACGGCGTCCAGTGTGCTTCCAGGTTTCTAATGGTGCTCTGTCTAACAATGATTGATTGGTGATTTCAAATGTGTAAAAACACAAAACCTCCAAAACTCTGTCCGAAAATATCGTAACAGTGCTCACTAGTGACTAGCTTCGTGAGGAAATTCTCGGAGTTCTAGTGAGAAGACGTGACTAATGGAGTTCAACCCTGTCGGGTGTAGGCAGTAACTACCGAAGACAAATGGGTGAGGTCGCACAAAATCTCTAGATTGATCAAAGTTAGACATTAACACTGTTGGATGCCGACGGCCCAGTGGTCCAGAGGTTAGGCGTTCGCGCACAAGACCGAAGGTCCTGGGTTCGAATCCTGCGAGGTGCAGGAGTCGTGGATGCGCACTGCCACTGATGAATCCCCTATACTAGGACGAAACGGCCGTCCAGTGTACTTCCAGGTTTCTAATGGTAGTCTAACAATGATCGATTGGTGATTTCAATGTGCAAAAAACACCAATCTCCGTAACTCTAATAAAAAAAATACATTTGTCAACAGAAAAAAACAACCTGACACAATTTAATATCACATCACATCTCACCATTAATTGTTGATGAAATGTAAAAAAAAATGTTAATTCTTTTTTTCACAATATGCTTTTCAACATCAGTCAGTCAATTTGTAGTAAAAAAATATGCAATTAATAAATAACAAAGTTATTCAAAAATATATACGCACTAAACTTTAATTAGTTAGTCAATAATTATGCTCAATAGAAACATTGAATGAAACGAAGTAATTATTCAATAGTGAATATTTTTTTGTTACGAATTACTATTTTCAGTAATATCAATAATACATAATGAAAATTATCATACAAATGACTAATTTTGAAAAAAAAAACTGTTTAACGTGAAGTTTTTTTTTACTTGTACATCAATTAACTATTTGTGAATGTGATTTATTTAGAGGAATATACAACTCAAAGCCCTGGTGGTATAGCCAAGAGTGAGAAGAGTCCAGTCTCCGTCTCTCTCTCTCTCCATATGAGTACCTGAAAAAAAATCTACGGACATGGAAGTTATACTTTACAGCCTCCTTCTGGAGCAGTTATTTATTATTTACGAAATTGAAAGGATGAAAAGTGAATGTGTCTGAATTACTTATAAATTTCTTGTATTTCATTGATATACATTTTCTTGAATCTCTTATCTATGATACCTAAATCTTATTTATACTGTTAATGCCTCTACTAATCTAGGCACGGATCAGCAAAGCAAGGGGATAGCATTTCTACAATTGAACAACATCTGTAACTCAAAACAACTATCAATAAACACTAAAATCACAATTTTCAATACGAATGTCCCAGACAGTTCTACTGTATGGGGCAGAAACTTGGAGAACTATGAAAACGATCATCCAGAAGATTCAAGTGATCATTAACAATTGTCTACGCAATACAATACATCGGATCTGCTGGCCACACAGCATCAGCAACAACCTACTGAAGGAGAGAATAAACTAGATTCCCGCAGAGGAAGAAATCAAAAAGAAGCGTTGTAGTTAGTGAACAGGACACATGTTGCGAAAAGCACCCAACTGCGTCAAAAGGCAAGCCATCAGTTGAAACCAGCAACATCAAAGGGAAAGAGAAAGGCCAAAGAACACATTACACCGAAAAATGGAGACAGACATGAGAAGAATGAACAAAACTTGGACAGAACTGGAAAAGGAAGCCATGGACAGAGCAGGTTAGAGAATACTGGTCGGCGGCCTATGCTCCATTTGGGGTAAGAGGTGTGAATTAGTAAGTAACTCTACTGCTCTGAAATTCCACTTGACAACTGCACTAATATGGTAGATGTCACAACTTGAATTGATGTACATACACGTGTCAGGTTCTGTGCTGCAACTCAGTGACTGACTGACTAATGAAAATAGTCTATAGATTATACTTTAAGTGTGATTAGCTGAATATTTCAAACAATGAAACAGTGTTGTTACCTATTACACATCATTATCTAACTGTGATCTCCAAAGATTTTCTCCATAGATAATGGACTATGAATAGTCAGTGTCAAAAGATATAAGCAGATAGACACACGTAAGGAGTTGAATGAAGTTGTATATAGAGAAAAAAATGTAACAGTACCATTAGATCATGTAAAGAGAACAATCGGTTTATGAACTACTGCCTAGAAGCTGAATGACTGATTAAATCGATGCTACAAAACTCTTTGTAGATCATAATAACAGATGAAAGTCAAAAATATCAAATTGTACATGATATGGTTGACAATTTAAAACTTTATATTGCCATGTTCGATATTATTACATTTGATCAACTTGTCTGATACCTTGATGCGCATTGTTGATGAGACCCATAGTAGGACAAAACGTCTATCTTTTAGTGCTTCCAGATTTTTAATAGTAATCTAACAATGATCCGTTCTTGGATTCAAGGTAAAACTACGATCTACATAATACTCTCATGCAAAATATCGTAATCAATAGGCAGATATGAACAGCCCCACAAAATGTCAATCTCAACCCGAATAGTTCAGTAGTAACAACCCTAACAATGATATTGTGTGTTGTAAGCATGAATCCTTTGATGAGTGCCTCGAGAATTGTAAATACACCTAGCTAACAAGTGTCAACCAGCATAAAATCCATGTCAGCAGCTACATATGAACATAAACCGGAGAAAAAAAGAGGTAATCACAAATGAAACAACAATCGCTCGATCAATCAGAGTTAGATATTAACACCGTGCACAATACCGAAGATCCCGGGTTAGAATCCTGCGAGTTGCACGAGTCGTCGATGCGCACTGCTGATGTGTTCCATATACTAGGACGAAACGGCTGTCCAGTGTGCTTCCAGGTTTCTATTGGTGCTCTGTCTAACAATGATTGATTGATGATTTCAAATGTGTGTAAAATCACAAACCTCCAAAAACTCAGCCTGAAAAAAAAACCCATAGAAATCTCAACAACAACAGCATAAACTTATACATCTATTTTACTTACCAAATTCAATTGTAATGTCAATAAAAATGCATTCAACCAAATCACAGTATCTGGATCAAAATTTATATGAAAAGGATTAATTTGACAAAACAATGAACATGGTAAAGCTGAAATAGAGAAATGAAAGAAGATAATGAGAGTGAAATTTAATCAGTTGAATAATAATAATAATAATAAATAAATAAATAAATAAATAAATAAATTTGACGGTGGTAGATTGGATAAAAATTAATGTAGTACCTGTGGTGGTCTAATTGATATTTCATAAAATAGACTACCCAACATGATAGTTAAACCAAGCAACTTCATAGGAGGGCACTACTGACTACATATACTACTACATATACATTATTTAAAACAATTAGTCCCTTTCATAAATTATGATAGAACAGTGAGTAGACGGAAATGATTTGCAAAAATGCCTCTTCTTAACTGAAGCATCGATTTCAAACGGCTATCCGTTGAAAGTTCATCAGTAGGTGTAGAAATCAGTTAAGACAAAAGCAAGTTTTTCATTCTACTGAGAAGAAAAAGGTTTATATCACAAATGGCCTGAATTTAAGACAGAGACTAAAAGCAGCCATAGAGAAAACATACAACGCTGCTAAACTGATTATCATTGAAAAGACTAAGTCCATGATTTCACATAGACCTAAACGTTGCTCGAATGATTACATCACATCCCATTGCGTTTATCAATTTACATGTTTGTGTGGACAAACATACATAGGGAGGAGTAATCGGACTTTGCAATCAAGGGTTATGGCTTCAAAATCAGTTAACGTCAGATGAGCCGATTAACGTGGGAAACAGAAAACCGCGTTCATCGATCACAAAAAAATATAACTGAGACAGGGCATGAGATTGACTTCAAGACAGCCTTCAAAACACTGTATAGAATTGTTGAAGGACGGATTTTGAGGTTTATGAAGTCCTTGGTTATTCGAAAATTAAAATCCCCATTATGTGTGCAGAAACAATTTGTCATAACCTTGAATTGACCCTGGTAATCTTTAAGCCTACGGTAATGTGACAATTTTCCTACCCTTTCTTATTCTTTTCATATTACGTTAATTTTCTCTCTCCTTAACATTTACAATTATCACCTTATGTCTATTATTTGAACTTTTATTTAATTGACCTTTTATTCATCTTCATTGAAAATGCCTAGACAAGTGTACATATGTGGACCAGATTGTTCGAAATGTAAATAGCGCGCAAATAAATCACATTTTTCAGATCAATTCCGTTGTCTCACTGTTCTATCAAAATATACATTATTAGAAAAAATGAAGCAGTGATTGATTGTATTTAAACAAGAATTATGTTTCATTTTCATGCTACACATAATGAAGCGCAATACCGACGGTCCTAGGTTCGAATCTTACGAGGTACAGTAGTCGTGGATGCGCACTGCCAGTGATGAGGGCCCAGTGATCCGATGGTAAGGCGTTCGCCTACAATGCCAAAGGTCCTGGGTTCGAATCCTGCGAGGAGCAGGAGTCGTGGATGCGCACTGCTGATGAGTCCCATACTAGGACGAAACGGCTGTCCAGTGTGCTTCCAGGTTTCTAATGGTGGTTTAACAATGATTGATTGATGATTTCAAATGTGTAAAAAAATCGCAAACCTCCAAAACTGTGCCCCAAAATAAGCAATTTGTATGTATTTGTGAGCATCAGTATATAAAGGTCAATGATCCCGTCTGCTGTCGACAATGAAATCAATAAAACAGTAGTCATACTAACCTAATACCTCAGAATAGACAGTTACAAACAATTGACAGAGTTTTCGTCAAATAACAAACCAGCTATTTTTTTCATTATCTACGTATTTCCTTTCAAATTATGGACACTAACTGATTTCCATTGAAATTTATTATGAAAAAAGTAGAAAGAATAGTCTGTAAATGATTGACAGTTATATGCCTGTATTATTTTATGAATTATAAGATTTTAATAAGTATACAAAATTACTGTTAAATTTTATTTGATTTCTAAATTATCGTAAAATAAACCTAACCTCTATCCGATTTATTTTTTACGTTAATACCCTAGATTAGCTTACGGTGAGCTGTGATTGGAATTGATTACCTAAAGTGCTGTTTGTCAGGGTTGTTGTTTGGAAAGTTAGAACCCCGGGACTCACATGAAAGGGCCCTAATATTAGATGTTGTGTTTTTGCGCATGGGCTGCTCAGTCGACCTTCAGCTTACAGTTCCCATTCGGAGAATTCTTGACTGTCATTGGTTGGTGGATTATTTTAGTACGCTGTTTTTGTGGCTCTCCCAAGGACATTACTATCTTGTATAAATAAACTCGATTTATGTGCTTGTCAACCTCATATGTTCTGGGTGAGTGTAGAATACACCTTCTAAGTCTTGTCAAGACTTCTTCCTCTACTTAGTAGGGCCTTGGGACGCTCGGATTAGAGTAGCCTGTCGTGTCACCGGATGATTGATCCTGGCTCCGTTACCGACTAAGTTTAACTCGTAATAGTTCAAGCATATCAACTGGTGGCAAGCGTAACAGTTGCCTAGTTTTTCTATTCATATCCAACCTTGTCACAGACATGCTTTTAGAGATAAAACTCTCACCGTCTGACTTTTCAAGAGTTGAACTTTTACTGAGAGATTCACTTGTTGACTTAGAATATGCCGATGACATAGTTCCGTTTGTTGAAGACGCTCTGGAAATGTACAGCAATAATGCAGGCGATTCTCCTCCTCGAAATGCAAAATGTTGTTTCAGGATTATGTTGCATCGGCAATCGAACTAGTGATAGGGAGTGAAGCTGTTGAGCGTGTTGATCACCTCACTAATCTCAGGAGTCTAGTCAGTGTCTAGTGTGACCAAATATGAGCATGGATACATAAGGCTCAACTAGCGTTTGCCAATTTGCGTAGGCGAGATATTAGTTTACTAACCAAAGGAAGAGTCTACTGCGTAGTGATTCGTTCCGTTTAACTATACGGGTATGAAACATGGCCAGTAACAGTAGGGCATATTCATAGGTTACTAGTGTTCGATTATAGATGTCTCCGAAGCACTGCTCGAATAACTCGGGGCCACTGATCAATCAGTGCTGTTGTTGGCAAACAGGTACCAGGTAAGGATGCCATATGAATTGATAAAATATTGAAACTTCATCAGTTGAAGTGGTTGGGACATATGCAACGTATTTCCAACCACTGACTGCCTCGACGGGATGTTTTGTGATGTAAGAGTGGACTAGAAGAAAGCTAGAGGCAGCCAGACCAAAAGATGGCATCACATCACTGACAACTAAAGTGAGCTATGTTAGTAGGTGTGGACGACCTAGTTTGAGTTCGCGAAGCAATTGTATCTAACGGCTAGAGACTTCGAATATCATGGCCCAAAGTTCGTTTGCAATGGTGCAGGTGCATCCATTCATTAACTTCTCTCAGGATATCATGAGCTCAAGACCTTTTTCTTTTCTCGTTTTAAATTTATTTCACTGAATTAAAATTCTTGATTAATATCTTCGAACTCTAATCTCTTCCATTACGGCTAATACTTCTACTACCTCTACTACAATCGGATATGAATTGACAATTGTGTCTCTGTGGTAATTTGGTATGGCAACTGTAACTGATGTACGTACGTACACAGTTCTACGTTGTAGCTGACTGACAGAGTTTAGCAAGAACACATATTCACATACTTATTAGTGTCTTTTTGGATCAGTTGAATCAGAGAAATCGGATAGAGTTTTCTTCGGAAGTTGCCTTGCTATCTCCGCTTGCCAATCGATTAGGCCGCTGATCAGTGATAGCATAGATTTTTCCTCACTCTTTTCAAGATCATTTAGTGACAAAGTTCAATTTACGCGTCACAGGCACAAAGTCACATTGAGCACCACCGAGCGCATCAAGGCAACAAAGGAGATTAAGACCATTCAATCTCTCGATGCATTTCAAATGCAGACAAGTGAGTAAATAGTAAGGTTATTATTATATAGTTCAAATGATCAATTTCTAGATAACATAATGTTGTAACGGTTGCTTATATGATTCCCGGCTAAATCCTATTGCTTAGTGTTCTCTGACCACAATACACTGGACAAGTTCCCAAGAATCAAAACACGGTTGAACAGGAAAAGATTATATTCCAAATAGCAAGGTTAAATGGAATAAGTAGCCAAGGTGATGGCGAAGGCGAAGGCTAAAAAAGATACAACGTTAGTCTAGTCATAGTATTTACATGAGAAGCTTCTGGATAGAAATTCACGTGATCGACTGAATTAGATTTAACCAATCAGCACGCAGCTAACAGTATGAGAATCTTCTACCCTGTTCTCCAAGATTCGATCAGGCGCTGATTGGATAGGAAATTATCCAATCAGCGCGTAGCAACGTAGTCATGCTTTAATTCCATCTATGTCCCACTAACACATAATAAGCGTATTTTTCGATATCGTAGTACTAATCAATTTTAGTACACAGCGGCTAATCAACAGTCGACAACACAAATACGCATCAGTCAAAGCTACCGCTATTCGCATTCACATAGTGAGATCAAATTTTTTAATTAAAAATAGATTAGCCAGATTAGCTGAGAAGACTGAAACAGAACTCTAGTCGTATAAGAGCTGGATGTTCTCATTATGTACTTAAAATATTATCAAAATGAATTTCATATTGTGTTTAAAACCTGAGTCTTTTGATCATCAAAACAATCTTTCCAATTTTAATAATGAAATCAATTGATGATCATGAATGCAATTCACAAGTACTCTCTTTTTATAACTTAATTTAATCACTTATATCTCAAATAAATAGAATTAATGATTGTTGTTTTGTTTTTTTCTTTTAAAATCTTTCTGAGAATCTTTTTTTTTGCAAAAACAAATTCAAAAATAAAACTGATCAATGTAAAATTGTTCAGAAGATAAAAAAAATAACCTAGAAATATAAAACTAAAAAAAAAACAATAAATGACCTAATTTTGCAAAGATAACAAGATTAGTATTCACAAAGATAAGCACTTAATGTAAAATAATCAAGGTGAACGGAAGTTAAAGAAGGAAAATTTATCCTAATACTGGACTCCATGTCATCGTCATGTAGTGGATACTACTCGCAACGTGGCTTGTAAGTAGTAGTATACAGTGGAGTGTCATGGTGAACGTATAACTGAATAGGTGTCGGATTAGAATGTATGGTGAGATCAAAATGTTTTGAAGATTAGAAGGCAAGACCAAAGGTCCTAGGTTCAAATCCCTAAAAGGTGCAGGAGTTGTGGATGCGCACTATTGATGAATCCCATACCAGGACGAAACGGCCGTTCAGTGCTTACAGGTTTCTAATGGTGGCCTAACAATGATCGATTCATGATTTTAATATTAAACAAGCAAAAAGTTTTAATAAACAGTAGAGAATGTATTCTAAAGGTACCCAGAAAATACGAGGTGTCTAAGCACACAAATTAAGCTTATTTATACAATGATAGAGACGCCCTTGGGAGAGCTACAAAATAGCGTACTAAAATAATCCATAAACCAATGACCGTTAAAGACTTCCTGAGTGAGAAATGTAAGCTAAAGATCTCCGGCGCGAAAACATAAAAAATTCAAAATTTCAGAATAAAATTACAAAATTAGGATCTTTTCCAAGTGAGTTCTGGGGATCTAAACCGCCCCTACAATGGTCTATTATAAATTTTGTTAGTAAAAACTTTCAGTTCCCTAGATACACTACTATTCTATCTGTTCTTAACATCGTTGTGCAGTCAGTCAGTCAGTTACAACGTAGAACTTCGTATGTACGTACATCAGTTCAAGTTGCCAGACCATTTTAGTGCACAGACAAAATCGTCAATTCAAATCCCATAGTAGTAGAGGTGGTAAAGATATTAGCAGTAATAGGAGAAGATGAGGATTCGAAAAAATGATTCAAGAAGTATAATTCAGTGAAATAAATCAATTTAGAAAAGGGAAAAATAGAGGTGATGAGGAATTCAGAAGATTAGAATTTCACAGAACATAAACAATGAATGCAGCTGAGGCATTGAAAACGATTTTGAGCTCAGTTGGGTCATCAAGATAGGCAATAACCAATTGAGATCAAACATTAGTTTATTAACCAAATAATGAACTCTTATAAGTTATAACTAATTCAATTGTACGTTGTTCGCAAATAAAACGATCTCACAAACCAACATAAATCCTTTAAACTATTAATTTAAGATAAAATGGCCTCATGTTTTCGACTCCAATTAATTTACGGTATAGGGTGATGACGAACAGCTTATTTGGAGTATGGGCTCGGTTACTACTTCCGAACGTCCAAGACGAATAAGGTAGTGCTTTATCGAATTATTTGCTGAGTCTTTTACTTAAAGATTTACCTTAAAAGGCAACAGAGTAACATCAGGAGGCATAGTTCTATGATAGCTAATGTGTCCAAAATAGATTAGTAGATCATTTGTTTATATTCGGATCCGAAGTCTCATATTATACAGCTAATTGATTTAATGACACTAACAAGCCTCTCAAACTGAAACAGTTAGATTAGGATTCAGAAATGAGATCTAACAATAGGACACTGGGTACTTTACTTACTAAATCACAGCTCCACATAATCAATAATGCGTCTTAAATCTGTCCAATAGTAGTTTAGCGGTGAGCCTAGTTACACTATTATCATTAGGTAACAGATGACAACTTCAGTGGTCTACACATTTTTTGGTACGCCTAGCTGGGTGAGTATGAACACCAACTGACTCGTCGAGGTATTTTTTGTGGTGTACGAATAGGTTGGAAGAAAGTTAGGGGTGGCCAGACCAGAACATGGCACAAATCCATGAAATCACTAACAAGTGGACTGAGTCATGTCGGTAGGTGTCGACTACCTTGGTTAGGATCCGCGAGATGATAGTAATTGATGGTTAGAAACCTTGAACGACATGGCTCAAAATCTTTTGCAATGGAAAGATGCTTCCATTCTTCGGAATGGCAAATTGAACTGATGTACGTACATACGAAGTTCTACATTGTAACTGACTGACTGATGACTATCCGTCAAACAACTTAAGTATGACTGAAAGACAGCTGCACTAGTTTGCACCAAAAACGTGATTCATAAAAACAGTTGTTATAACCTCAATCTAGCTACTTATATAAACCCAATACTTTTAACAAAACCTACGCCATGTCCGAAACAACGCAGTACTATGCAGAAGGCAAAAAAAGCTTTAGTCTACACAGAAAAAAAACGCCCAAGTATTAATACAACCAGCCAATCAGGTTTGTGCAATACTATGACACCTAATTCAACACTATGGGGACATTGAAATCATGAATCAATCACTGTTATACCTGGAAGTACTGGAAGACGGCGATTTCTTCCTGGTATGGGGCTGACTCATCAACAGTGCGCATTCATGACTACCCCTACTAGCCAAAATCATGCATATCCTTTGTATTTACTGTTATAAGTATAGAAAACTTTACAATAACTCTGATTTCTTTAAAGCTATTATAAGTTGTATGCAGCTGATGAGAAAGAACACTATCAACGTAGAACTTCGTACGTACGTACATACATCAGTTCATGTTGCCATACCACATTAGCACAGAGATGTAATTGTCAATTCAAATCCAATAGTAGTAGAGGTAGTAAAGGTATTAGCAGTAATCGAAGAGATTAGGGTTAGAAGATATTATTCAAGAAGTAGTACCTAGTGAAATAAACTTAAAATGAGAAACATGAAGTGATAAGCAATTAAAAAGTTTAGGAATAAATGCACCTGTGCCATTGCAATCGGTTTTGAGTCATGTCATTCATAGTCTCAAACCATCGATTATAAATATCATCTCGTGGACCTCAACAAGGTAGTCGACACCTATCGACATAATTCAGTCCACTTTGTCAGTGACTTCATCGATTTGGTCTGGCCGCCCCTATCTTTCTTCCACCACAAATCATAGCTTGACGAGGCGGTCAGTGGTTAGACATACGCAACACATGTCTCAACCACCTCAACTGATAAAAAAGTTTCAACCTTATGGAATAAAATGAATCTGTACGATTTTGTTCAAGTTTTTTGTTACGATTATTATTATTATTATTAATGTCCTTTGCGATAAAATCAAACGAATTCAACGCGCACAAAAGACTTACATTGATTGGAACATTTCGAATTCGTTGCATCATCTGTACTAGTAGTAGTAGCAGTACTACTAGAACAATGATAATAATTTTTCAATTCCACAGTAAGAAATGATGATGTCACTGGTAGATTATGCAATAATTTATCGGATCCAATAAAAATATTCTTATCAATTGGAATTTCAGCTTGGATACGTGCATGATTTTTGTTATTACTATTACTATTATTACTATTATTAATATTACTGTGAGTAGTATGCAAGCCTTTATTGATTTTTGCAAATTTGGAAAACGCCGTCGATGAACTATTATTATTGTCCCTTTTCAACAATGATGATGACGATTTCGGATAAGATACACATGATACAATGAGATCAATTAAACGAAAATAGCCAACACTTTGTAAAATGGTTGTATTCATTGTTTGTAATAAATTGTAATCCAATAGAATAGATTGATTATCAGTTGGCGTTGTTGTTGTAGGCATAGATGAAATACGATGTGTATTGAATAATTTACCATTATTATAGGTAAAATGAATTGGATGAATACCTTTTAACCAATGATCACGTGCTTGATAGAATTCATGACAATTAGGCCAGGTTAATTCTGGTAAAACTTGAAGAATATGAAATGAAATATATATATGTAGAGAGATAGATAGATAGATAATTAATGATGGGTATAAGATTTTGAGAGAGAAAAATAAAATAAAAAAACAAACTAGATATTGTGTAATATAATAGAGGTGAAAATAATGATTGGCAGTGGGTATACAGAACGTAATATGCGTTTCGTCTGAATTTTGGATTTGTCAACTGGATGGACCTATGATCTCGGAGTTGATAGTCATTTCGGAACTGAAACATGGTACTGTTTGCTTCATCTGTCTTATTTAATGCTTATTCCTTGATGGTTAGATCGATACACTTGGCATAGGATGCACATATGCCAAAAATGTGTATGAGGTTGCGCAACTCCGTGGATTGATCAAGTTAGATATTAACACCGTTAGATACCGGCTAAGTGGTCCGATGGTTAGGCGTTCGCCTACAATACCGAAGGTCCTGGGTTCGAATCCTGCGGGGTGCAGAAGTCGTGGATGCGCACTGCTGAGGAGTCCCATACCAGGACGAAATGGCCGTCCAGTGCTTCCAGGTTTCTAATGGTGGTCTAACATTAATCGATTCATGGTTTCAAAAATGTGTAACTTAACAATCTTCACAACCCCGTAATGCAAATATAAATAAATAAAACAGTGATCATATGAACTCAGTAGCTAGGCGGACAAAGCGATGGTATCTGAAGCGAGCGGTACTGGGTTCGAGTTTCGAAGTGGACAATAACTCTGGGAACCAGATTCATCCAGCTAAGGACAAGTTCCGAATAGGAGAAACCGCGCTTCCTGTGTTCCATGATTGGCCACCATCCATCTCCAATTTATGACAATATTTCATTTTATCATTTAACCTCAAAATAATGAATGAATAACCATACACAAGAGTTGAATTATGATTGAATTAGCTAGTGTTAAATATGGAAAAGCATACGGATGGGATTAGGTTGCTTACTAAATATTTTTCACAGTTAAAATCACGAATTGATGTTAGTTAGACTATCAGTGAAAACCTGAAGCTGGCTTCTAC